ACTACCTTACATGTATTGCACAACCCAATCATGTAATATCAATGGGCTCCGTTTTTGGAATCCAATCCAAATTTAAAAAAAGCGTTCACCTATTCAAACATTATTTTGGATATGATCGCATTACAAGGGTAATTACGTAACATAGGCATCACTGTTTCTCACGTGATTTTTTAGGATCATAACTATCTAATTCCGTAATTAGGAGAAACCTAAAATCATAAGTGATCATTTACTTAGCAAATGTATATATACAAATACACGAGGTGCCATGATAACGATTGTTGATCTGTTCTACATCATTCAATCACCTAACCTAATTAGCATAAAATGTTATTAACTAACTCGAAGAATTGCATACGTTCGTTAAGTATTCCATTTCTCTTTCTCCATTTTGTTCATTAATATTATTAGTATTGACGTACAATCTTCTTGGCTTTTTTCCACAATTAGGATTATCCCCTTTTAAAATTACTCAATTGTGCTAGTTTTAAAAGTTTAGTAAAACTAGTGTAACTTAACTCTTTTTTATGTGTTTAAGTTGGATAAATTTATAATATATTTTTAATAGTTTTTAAAGGCCGCGACCTTTTTGGTGTAAATTTTTTAAAAATTATACGAATAACATATTAAAAAGAAAAAAAACTACACTAGTTGCTTAAATTTTTAAAATTCAAATCCACTCGAGTTCATGTGATGCCTTCATACTTTTATTATGCTACAGTCTCTGCATATTGTCATATCTTACATCTAAGAAAGAGAATATAATATCATTTCCAAATCAAATGCAACTTTAGTTCCTAACAAATTTATAATTCAAATTAGAGTAAATTACGCTCTTTTATCTTGGTAATGATAAAAAATTAATCAAGTGTTTCTAGTTTTCCCCCCCCTCTCTTTACCACTTGTAATATTACTATCAATTTATTTCAAATACGTAACTACTATTGATTTTAATACTTTAAAGGATAAAAATAAAAAAATATCTTTATCATCGGGTTTGAAACTTTATCTGGCAAAATTTTTTATCGATCTTGTTAACATAAGAAACTTGTTAAAAAATTAATAAACAATAAGGTTTTTTTAAATTTTGTTAGAATAAATGAAAAAAATCATGTAGATATGTACTTTTACGTTTTAAAGAAAAAAATTATTTCTATTTTTATTTCTTAACTAATGCATTTTCCATTGCTTCATTTTTCAAGTTAAAGAATTAATAGCACATATTCAAAATAATTGTTAATGGTACCAAGAATAAAGCGAGAGAAAGAAACATCACTGAAATAAGAAGTTAGTACATTCCACTAAATTAAAATATAAGATGTATTTATCTTTTAGAAGACTGCAATTTTAAAAAAAATTGCTAATACGGGCATTAGTTTAGAAATAAAAAAGATTTGCTAAAAAAATATAATAATGCACTTATTCTGAATTTTTTATATATATAGTATTTAGAAATAATATATACTAAAATATGGTGTTCTTGACAAATTACAGAAATATGAAATTTAAATATAGTTAATGGCAATTTTTTGTGTAAGTACAAATATTTAAAGATAAATAACAAAAAATTTAAAATGTATAAAAAATATATTAACTTTAAAAAAATTAAGTCTGGCTGATGACAATTTTTAAAATAATAATAGAATATCTTAAAAATACCAAAAAATTGTTAATATTGGTCAAAAATCATAAATGAACATTTTGAATTTTTTTTTCCATAAAAAAGGAGACACTTATTCTCATGTTTTTAAATAAAAAATTATTATTTATTAATTTCTTAATATGTGGCCAAGTCCTTATAAAAATAAAAAATGGAAAAGGGCATTTTACTCATTCAAATAGCAATAAACTTAGTTTGCAAACTTAATATTAATAGTTTGATGGTTTAATAGTATCTTCAAGTGTTATTGAGTGTTTTCATGAAGAAAGAAAGAAATGTAACAGTTGATTAATTCGCATACACTGGTTTTTAGAAACAATTAATGAGTATATACGTAGTTGATTCATAAATGGTAAATATCGTGTGAATGTATATAACGGGGGGCACACAATTTATGACAAAGTGATTTCATGCATTGAATAGGATTAACTAAAAGACAAATTACAATAAATATCCATGACAATAATCTAGTTCCAAATTGTTTCAAAAAATAGAATTTATGTTATAGCTACACCGATACGATCATTCTCCCGATACTTTATCAGTTATATGATATAGGAAACGTTGTCTAAATGGATGATATAAGCCAAGCTCAATATCATTATCGTCTTAATTTTGGAGGTTCTTTGTCACATCGCCCGTTATATTTGGGTTTAAAAACAAACAAACATAACTATTATTCTTGTAAATTTAATTAATAATATTTGGATTACTTATGGCTCTTGCTGCTAAATAAAGCAACATATCAGTTTCAGTGATTTGTACATGATTATTAATTAGCTTGCGATTTCGTGTCAAACTCCTAAATCAATTAGTTAATTACAACTACACAGCCGATGCTAGACCCAGAAGACTAAGACTAAGAGCAACTCTCTCTATAAGGAAGAATTGGAAGAATCCAATATAATGTTGTGGATTATAGTTTAGTTTGGCAATCTATTTTCATTTTCCACACATGTCTTCACTTGATAATTTCTATGTAAGTTACTATCCACTTCAAATGCTTGCTCTAGCCTTAGTTGAAATATAAAGTGCAAAATTATCTACTGTTTATTTAATTTTGCGTGATGTAGAGATTTTTAGAAACGATGTTTAAATGTGAGGAAAATTAAACTTGTGTAATTCAAATCATAAACATATGGGTTTATTATAAATCAAAACCTTAATATATCAAATTATAAATTATATTTAAAAGCCAAATTAGTGAAAGTTAAAAAAGAATACGAAATATTCGTCGGCTAAATTTCTTGTTTTCAACCCACGTTGAGACGATTCACATTCAATTGACCATGTCAGGTCCACTAAATGGAATCCTCTTTTACGCTCAAGTCATGACACTTTCATGGTTGTTTGGTCTCTTTCCCTCAGACTATACAAAACCTAACAGGAGATTAAATATAAATTTAATTAAATCCAATGAAATTTATTTGCATTTTTTATTAGTGTAACAAACTTTTCCATCCGTATCAAGTATTATTCTGCCATTTCACTTAACAACAATTATTGTATGAAATTACAAATTTAAATATTAATATTAACAATACTCTTGCTAATCAATTTTATAAATACTTTAATTAAAGATTCGATAGATAATATTTGTGTATTAATGTCACATTAAGATATATTTGAATAAATATTTATTTTTATTCTTTAATTAATATTTAAAAGATATTGGCAATTTATTGATAAAACCCCAAAACTAACGCCATAATTAATGATATCATAGTACCGAGTCATTTTATAACTTAATTCAAAAGTATCATGTTAAATGAAATTCCTAGACAAAAACCGATGAATCAGAAAAAGCTCAACTACCATATCCTAGTTATTATTCCAAATAATAATAAAAAATACGAGCTAAAAAAACTCATTTGAAAAAAAAAATCGGATTTTTTATTTTCTTTGTACCCTTGTAATTGAACTTTTGCTGGCAGAAAGTTTTAGCTGCTTTTCACGCGACTCCGAGACTCATGCAATAAAAAAAAAGAAATTGAATAATATAATAATATCTGTGGTGGATGGGAAAAGAGGGACGGCAGTACATACATGATGATATTTTTGGATGGTGCCGTATGCCAAAGCGTGTCTCCCGCCGGGGATCCAAAGCAACACGTGTCAGCATTCCAAGCATCAATCGTTATGAACCGTCAGATCAGATCGGACGGATTCAAACACATTTCATTCTTCTGATCCTGATCCATCTCACGCGGCGAGGAGGCGGAGCATGCCGACAAATGTCTCCGTCATCTCACGCTGCCGTTCCGTTTATTACCAGACGCGCCCAGACAGACGCCGTTAAGGGAAACGCCGCCTCTTCTGTAGGGGTTTGTGTCAGGTCCACGTGTCCACGCGTGGAAGAAGCTACGTGGCTCGGTTCGGCCCTCCCTTCGCAATTATTAATGTTGATGGTGGGGCCCGCCACCACGCTCTCTATCGCGGCTGGGGCGGCGCGGCGCTTTATAGAGGGGGTGCAGCAAACCATGCTATGCATTAACACAGTGCAGTCAACGAACCTCGTTGACCGTGCCAAAATGTTTTCACAAGATCCATCGTTTCCTCGTTCACCACCACCCACGTGTGGGGAGCGTTCTCATACGCGCTTCTTCAGTTATGTGGAGTGCCTTTGGACCACTTTTTGCTACACGTGTAACCGTTTTTTTTCCTCGCTTTAGCACTTGCTGTCACATTTTGACGGTGAAGCTATTGTATCTGCTCCTTTTTCTCCTTATACGCAGTATGACGAGTGAGTTTATTAAAAACAAAGAATCAGAATTTTATTTTGTATGCAGTGTGTAATAATTGATGAAAAACTGTTATTGAGGTTATGACTTGAAGAATTTTGACTGGCTACGTCCTTGATTTAATGTAAAATTTAATTTTAAAGTAACGTTTGTTCGATAAAAATAAGTATAACTGGGTGCTGTTTTGTAAGTTTCCATTAAAAATGTATACACAAATTTGGAAGTTAGGAGTACAACATTTGAAAATCTCAAATGCCATTTGGTTTTATGCAACTAAAAATGAAAATTTAAAACTATTTTCTGTTTTGCCGTTAAAATATAATTTTTTTACTGTCATTAAAATGAAAATACATTATTGGTAAAAAATAAATGGAAGGAAATAGATATATTTGATAAATTGAAAATAGAAATGAATGGGGGTACAGTAGAAAAGAAATACAGAAATTGGAAGAAAAAATAGTATAGAATTAAGAGTGAAGTAAGGTGGCAAGAGGGGAGTGGTGAGCAGCATGGAGCAAAGAGGTTCGTGCTGGTGAAGCCACGTTGTGTAAGCAGCAAGCGCCTAAAAGGAGCGTAGCTTTAAACACGCACGCACACACCACTCTCTCTCTCTCTCTCTCTCTCTCTTGAATTGGGCTATAAAAAGCCTCCAACTCCGATTGTTCCCCTCAGGCATTGTCTCAATCCCACAACCCCTACTCCTCTCACTTTATTGTTCTCTGCTCAGAAAAAATTTGAATCTCACACCAACAAATCCACGGATTCAAAATACCAAAACAATGGCTCCGAGGGACAGAGCCACCGCACTCACCGGACCCAATCCACCTCCCCATAACGCCAAAGAGATCCGTTACAGAGGCGTAAGAAAGCGTCCATGGGGGCGTTACGCCGCCGAGATCCGCGACCCAGGCAAGAAAACCCGCGTCTGGCTCGGCACCTTCGACACCGCCGAAGAAGCCGCTCGTGCTTATGACGCCGCGGCGCGTGAGTTTCGCGGCGCAAAGGCCAAGACTAATTTTCCCACACCCTCTGAACTCATAAACAACAACGCGCGAAGCCCAAGCCAGAGCAGCACGCTCGACTCCTCCTCTCCGCCGCCGCCGCCGCTCGACCTCACCCTCACTCCGCTCTCCGCCGCTGGCGTCGGCGCCTTGGCGTTCCCGGTGGCGCGTCCTGTGTTTTTCTTTGATGCGTTTGCGCGTGCGGATTCCGTAACCGGCGTGGCACGCCGTGAGATGTGTGGGCTCGAACGCCCGGTGGCTGATTTCCGTCGAGCCGCCGCCTCCGCCGCAGCGCAGAGCGATTCTGATTCTTCCTCCGTCGTGGACTACGACTGCGTTCCGCGTCGAGGACTTTTAGATCTTGACCTGAACGTTCCTCCTCCGCCGGAGGTTGCTTGATCTTGGGGCGTTTGGAAACAAAGATCTGTTTTTTCGGAAATTTTCGCAGTTTTTAAAGCATCTCGCAAGTACCCATTTTGAGAAAAAGGAGTCGCCCTCCGAGAACATAGATATTACGAAGAGGGCGCAAAGTGAGTAGCTGACATGATGTTTGGATTTGTTGACCATTATGATAACGATGATGATGATAACCGGCACGTTTTTGTAAATACGTTATAACCAAAAGCAAGTTTGTTTGCTCTTTTTGCAACTGGGAACTTATTCGGAGTATCTCATGGTTGTTTCTGCAATTTCTGAGGACTTATATAATATAAAATGGCATTTTTATCATGTTAATCTGATTCTCTTTTTTAAGCTATAGGTAAGAGATGTATGCATTAGGACTCAATATTAACATAATGCGATTGTATGGTACCCATCCTTATCCATTTACATAAGGGGTTTGAAGGCTTTTTTCACATTTTAGATTAATAATGAAACGTGTGTAAGCTATACATCTTTTAACGTGCCCTAGGTTGTTTTTTTAACTTGGTGCGTTGTTGGATTTCGTTGGTTGAGATCTGACAGACATGTCGCCGGCATTGTTGCGCGTTTGATTAGGTTTTTGTCGTTGGGGGGCCTCTCCTTCTTTTGCACATACTATTGCTTGATTGGTTTGTTCTTTCAGGCCTGCAGTTAACCCAATATAAAATATACCTTCACATAATAAACTTGAAAATAATAAAAACAAATAACGTCGTGGTTGATGGTGTCACTGTGGACCCCTCTTCCTTGCTGTTTTCTTGAACCCGAAAGAAAAATGAATTGGTGAGAGGAAATGTGATTAAGATGTAATTGAATTGTGATTAAACAAGATAATGTTTATATTAAACAAAGATACGGGGCGGGCGGGTTCAAAATTTATAATCCGTGTAATGTAGCCGATGAATGAATCGGATTCGATTTATGAAAAGAGAGGAATTGAAAAGAAGAGAAAAGGGACTTTTTCAGATTGATGATGAGCAGCGTGGGTATGAGAGAGGGTGTTCTCGTGATTCGCGTATTGGCTTATCCGTTGCGGCGCGGATCTCAATGACACTTGAAATCCTACGGCTATGTGTGGGGGTGTGTCCGAGCCTCATTCATTGGTTTCTTTATTTGGTATTGAGGACTTGTTTTGATCCTTCTTCTTATTTATTTTTTAAAATTAATGATTTAATAGAATTAACTAATGTTAATTGCAGTGCAGGCGGCACCGACGGCGAAAACGCTGCGTAGAAAGGAAGAGCGAATGAGAAGGGAAGTGTCTGGCGGTGGGGCCCAGCGAGCATTCCGTGTTGACTATGTGGCTGTCGGAGTTGATGTTGTCTTCACGTGATGTTTCTGCGCCCCCATCTTTCCTGTGTAGACCTTTACGGCTTTTCCCACTCTTTCTTCGCCCCACCCTTCCAAGTGTGTCATGCTACCTTTTCCATTTCTTAAAAATAAATTTTATTCCTGTTTTTCAATAGCACATAATAATGCAATCATATTATAATATTTTATTCAATTTCTCTTTTTTATTGGTCACTCCTTAATTGGCAGAGCATGGAAACATATTTTGGTAACGAGGAAAAGTATGATATTGAAAAATATTTTAAAAGTATACTGTTTCAGATGGAGTCGCGCTATAGAATAATTGTTGTCCATATGTTATTGGGTGACTAGTTCTTGTCAACAAAAATCGACTTGGGGAAATTTTCGATATTTAAAGAGTAATATGTGCTTATTCAACCAACCAAGTATGAACGAACGCATATTTTTCACCCACTGACCAGGCGAGGACAAACCCATCTTTACGTTTCTTATCTAATTAATCCAACAGATAAGGTAGAGATACGATTGGGTTGTTTTTCACTGCCCAGTTTTTTTTTAATCTTAATTGTGAAAATTAATATCATATTATTATTTTTATCATACATACATATATACGTTCGATAAATAATATCTATTAAGTATAAAAATATCTGAAAACATTTTATTTTAATAATATAATTTATTCTTTCAGGAGGAATGAAATTAAGTCAAGGTTAGACTTGACTTGAGTCTCATTCACAATTATTAAACTTAAATTTAACTTGTATATTTGCGATAGTCTTTTCATACATATTTAACTTGTTAAAAGTTAGACCAGGTTTAAAAATATTATTTTTATAATAGCGAAATTTTAATAATATATTTTATTGTTGATTAAAATTTATTAAAAATTATAAGTATTTCTGATTACATAAAAATAACACACATAATTTCATATGCTTTTAACAGATTTATTCAATAATAAAAAATTTCCAGATGGACTTACTTGGCTAAAATGCATGCGGACTTTTTGACACACAATAATATATTAGTATAAGTTTATTGTGATTTATAGTTTACTGTTATGAATTACAATGTGTGTATATATAATATTTTACTTAATATAACAACTACATGGTTCTTCCTTAATATTGTATTTTTTAACAAAAACTTTGTCTAAGAAGATATTTTAGATGCAATTAGTTGAATTCTTTATAAGCTTTCTTTTTCTCTTGTAACCAACAAAAAATAAAAAAGAAAAATCATTTTTGTATCTCTTTCACTTATCACTAACATCAAAACTTTTAAACAATCAAATTCTACTCTCTATCCCAAACAAAACAAAACAAAATTCAAAATAACTCATTTACCAATTTTTTTAAAATCTTACCTTTTCCCCATAAAATCTATAAGCAAAACACTCTAAATTAAAAATATCAATATTTTTCAATTTTAGTTCTGTTCTTTTTTTTTTTTTAAATCTTAATGGCAATTAATTATTAATTTTTGTTGCCTAACTATTTTTCCATCTTGCATGGAGTTAAGAAAAAAAAAAGTATAAAAGAATATACGTGACAAAAAGATAAAAAATATTAATAGAATTAATATTGTTAAAAATAACTTTATTTAAAATATTTTAAAAAATTTATTTAAATAAAAAAATATATTTAATCCTTGCATTAGAAGATAAAAATACTAATTTTATTTTAAATAATATCATAATATGATGTTATAGGAGTAACATATACTCATATAATTTAATATGTTCGGAGACATATTACTTATTATTCGCGACATCTTCATTATATGTACTTTCTAAATGAAAAAAAGAAAAAGAAAAAGAGTGAAAGATTATATACTCAGTGTCTCCCGAATAACTGGTTCCTCATTGTTCGTAATTTTTACTGCACACTAGTAACCAAAAATATCTAACTAGTAATAGTGTTATTAAGAAAAAGAATCCTCTTGAAAATAAATAAAATAATTAAAAGCAATAGAAATCTCTAAACGGAGCAAGAGGTGATGGGTGACCTTTGGGAAATAAAATAAGATAAAATAGATATTGTATGATTACTTTAAGATTAGTGGCATCCAATGTAGCCGGCATAAGGACGCCGCCTAAGGCAATGACCAGTAGCTTACAGAAGAAATCCGAAATTCATGTGTTGATTCGAATCTAAACATGCTTAAAAAACAGAGAAGGCAGGTTCACCATGGTTAAAGTAACACACTGTGAAAAATAATATTTTAGAAAATAAAAAAAGAAAAAGAGAGATATTAGTATTAGAATATTGTGGTTGGTTCGAAAGAATTGAAAAAGGAGCAAGAAGGAGGGGTCCACGTGTGAAACGGTCTGGTCGATGGAGGCGCGGCGGCCGCTGTAAGCGTGGACCCCAAAGATTCCCGTAGCTCTCCCTAATCATCTCAGCCAAACCCATTTTACATTTTTAAAAATATTCTAAAAATTAAATTTTTGAACGAGTTATAAGAAGACGCGTGGAGGGGATCACGTGTTGATGTGGGTACTGAAAGAGAGAAAGACGTGTCCGAAAACGACAGAAAGCGCTGGCATGTGCATAAGAGAAGAGGTTGTTAGGGTTTGGGCGGCTCCATCTCTAAACCAAACCCAAACCCAAACCCAATCGTTGAGGTCTCGTTTTCACGTAATGTGTAATAGAGCAGCTTTCGTTGTTGTTGTCATGTAGAGAGTAGTAGGGTTAAAGGAGGAGATAGAATAAGCACGCAATGCAATTAAAAGAAAGCTTCATACTTTATGGATTTCCTCACAAATATTATGTTTTGGAGTTTGTGGGCGCCGACTGCCACTTCGGTCACACCTCCAGAATAATTCATATATATAAATAAACAATTTTTTATTATTATAATTTTATGCAAAAAATAATAAAATTATACAGCAACACTGCATAAACAGAGGGAATGATTAAATGTTAAAGATAGGAATACGGATTCTACAAGCATACCTGCTCATTGTTTTTTATTTTTAAAAACACATTTAGCTGTTCCTCTTCCATTTGTTTGTGATTAGTTACCGTTGCTACTGGAATGTATATCTTTATTATAAATAAATAAAACTCATTATTATTATTTTTATTCACTGTCTTAAATCATAACTTTCAATGAAGCCGGAAAGCATACACTTCTATTATAAATTAATCAAGTACAAATATTTAACTCCGAATACATGGATCATTTGAATTGGTTATGAAGCTTATTTATACAATTTATTTGAATTATGAGATAATTAATTTTTGTTAAAAACAAAATTATAATTAACTATAGCTCATAAAACATATTAAAATAATGTAACATGTATTACTGTAAATTTAAAACTGGAATATATTTTGAGGTGTTAGCTCTCTGATTTAGACACATAAATATTAAATTAATCGCTGTTTATATATGCACTTCTGAACTGTATTTTTCCGTCCTTAGTCATCGTCATCTACTGTGTATATTTTTTTCACTCGGTATTACCTACTATGCTTGTGTGCCTTAAAAAACTCTGTTGCACGAAGAAAAAAAGTGTCACTTGTACGGTGGTAATTTTTAAAGGGAAAATCGGAAAGTCCAGAATGACGATACAAAAGTTAAATATGCAATATAATAATTTTGAATTATCTATCTAAAGAGAACTTCAAAATGAATTTTGTGAAGAGTGAAATTGATAATACATAATAATTTGTTTACGAAAAACTTCATTGGATATTAAAAAAAATCATTTCTACACTGTTGATTAGAAAATACACCTAAATGTGCAACAAAATGAAGGTAAAAATTTGAATTTAATTTTAACATATTATTAGTGTAAATTTGTTAACATTTGTCTAAATCTTATTATAATTATTTTTTTTATCAGAGACAAAGCTAGTATATATAAATAAATAAATAAATAAATAGACAGACAGACTAAGAAATTAACAAAGAAAATATTATTTTATTACTCTCATATTCACAATAAAAAACAGTAAATAAAAAATAAAATAAAAAATATAATTATTTTATTAAAAACTTTACAATAATAGTTAATAAATTTATTTAAAAGCGGTTATCTTTATTTATCTTTACTATCGTCAAAAAGCGATTTTGTTCCCTAAAGTTAACAATGCCGACTTGTTGGTTGTAATAGTCGTTAACCACTTTCAAAGTTTACTGTATAAAAATAACTAATAATTTATTAACTAATGATATTTAAAAATAATAGGTATATTTAACTAATAATTATGGCTTATATATATAAAAGATATTTTTACACTAATATAAATTTAAAATTTTGTATATTTAATTTAAATTTAATAATATATAATTTATTATTTTACTAACAGTTAAATTTAAATTATATAATATATATATATATGCATTTGTTAACTAATTTCGCAAAAAAACATTTTCAAGCTTTATTCTCTGTAAAAATATACTAAAATTTTTGTCCGGATTATTGATTTTGGTACCTATAAGTATCTAGATTTAATCTTAAACACTTAAAAATGTTTATTATATTTTATAATTTGAACAGAATAAATGTTGAAAATTTATTTCTTTACCTGGATATCTTAATTATTAAAAAAGGAGACAAATCCAGAACCATGATTGCAACTCAACGGTCGTTAAACCTTATCCGATTATCCCTTTGCTTCGGTTCAAAGAATTAAAGAATTAACCAGTTATCGCCTACTCCCAATAAGCAAATCTATGGTCATTATCGTTAGAAAAACACTGGGATTAAGTTAAGAATTTTTTTAACCTGTAAAACATTACATGTAATAAAAAATCAAGAATAAGAAAATTTTATTAGAAGTTGTAATTTTAATAGTGTTAATATATTAAATTATATTAAATCATTTAATTTTTCATAAAAAATTATTATTCATAACTTTTTATCATACCCATTATTGAAAGAATTTTTAGTAGACGTAAAAAGGAGTGTCTTAAGAATTAATGTCATTTAAGAAAATGTTAACTAAACGATGATTAAAGAACAAAATAAATAAATTTTGTAAAAATATAATATATTAATTTCCTTAATATACTGTATATAATTTATAATAATTTTAATTAATACTTTTACAATGCTGGTAATCGATAACTTTTTTTTTATTATTATTATTATTATTTATTTACTAAAATAAGTATTTGTTCGACTGGGACACTAACACGTGTTCCTTTCAGCAGCTGGTCCGTTGCCGATGCCGTATTGCCATTCTTATATTAATAGTATTGGATTTGTTTTAGTTTATCCATTCAGAAAAAAATACACTCATTAATTTTTTTTAATTTTTAAAAATTAATTAATTTTCTTAATATTTTTATTTTTTAATTTTGTTAATAATATAAATATTATTTTAGTTGATACAATATGTAATTAAAAATACACATAAAAAAATTGATTACATTAAATAACATAATTTTTAATAAAAATTATTACTTCTTAACCGTTTATTATTTATTCTTAAATATATTATACAAACAAACATTAATAGAAAAAATGTTTAATATTTTCTTAAATTTTAATATAACAAATAAAAAAAATTATCTAATAAATAAACAAGACCAGACATATTATTATTCATCTACGATAGATCTTCAGTGGTAATTGAACAAAGTGAGTGAGTCTCCAACATAAAGCCGAAAGAACATGGGAAGAGTGTTTGTGGTGGAGCTTGAGGGCAGGTCTTATAGATGCAAGTTTTGCAGAACTCACTTGGCCCTTGCAGATGATCTCATCTCTCAGGTATCATATCCATTTTTTGTTCTGTCAAATTTTTAGACAACAACTAATATTGTTCTTTTTTGTTTTTACTGTTTCTGAAGCATTCTCGACTGAAGCATAACCTAAGGACATTTGATTTCTGTTTTGAGAGAACAGTTAATCATTTAATGGACATATTCATATGTTAAAATATAAAAGTTTATGCTAACTTTATTATGTACGGTCGTCTAGACTCGAGAGATGAGCACTATGTGATGGAAGATGCATGGTGTGGAGTGCCCTGATTAGTTGAAAATAATATATAATATATTTTTTGATATTTTGTGCTGTTTATTTTGTGGGGATGAAGGTTTTGGTAACCTAAAAACCTGTACACAGGTTGTTTAGTTGCTCTACCTTATTTGTAGACCCTTTATGAACATTCTATGCAGTTCTCTTTCCCTCTCATAATGCATTTCCATTTGCAGCCCTTATGTCCACGGAAGAATAAAGAAGAAAAAATGCTGATTAATAAATTAATGGCAGCAGTTATGACAATAACCTATGGATTGAGTTGGGGGGGGGGGGTAGCCTAGTTGCACATCTATTCTTATTGTAAAAGATTTCTAATGAGTAATGACTATATTGATGGTTGGCTGCATTAGTTCTTGATATCTTTCATTTCAATCCTCTTGCTTTCCAGTCCAATTCAGGGATAATTTGGGGATCAAATTTTCTAGAGGGAAAATAATTGGACAGTGATGATGCTTAGATCTTTGGGGCCTAATCTGTCTTCAAGACGGGTTTAGGAGTTAACTATCCTTTTGAGTTTTGACGGCTTTCTTGCATGGTTGTTTTTAATACCTTGTATAGATCTTATTCTGCGGTGGCGTCTTTCTGTGATATTCATAAGTTCATATTGCAATAAGATAAACATACACAGCTGACATATACTGTGAGGTGGGAAAAGATAAAAAGCTAAATTTATTACTTCTTAAGCCATCCATAATGTCTATACTGTTGATTATGCTTGGTTTTTGCCAGCTCAATGCTTCAACTCTCCAACTGTTTTGCTGGATTTTTAAATTACTTCTCATCTTAATCTTTGATTACTCTTCTTTCAGGCGTTTCACTGTCGTAGGGGAAAAGCATACCTATTCAATAATGCGTGAGTACATTTCAGTTTTTTATTGGACAATCCATTAGTGCTTCATGATAGTGTTTTACTGTGTATTATTAGTTAAAAGGCTTAATGTTCATGTTATTTAATGCATTCATATCGCTAGCTCAAAATTTCATGTAACATAATTTTCACACTACCAACAATCTGGAAAATACGGTGGTCATGTTATGCAAAAGTCAAATCTCTATGAAAATTCCATCCTGTGATACACCATGAGCACTAAATTGTTCTCATTATTTTTTTTACAAAAATATAAAACGAAAATGTTCACAGTTGTTTAACAATATTAACTGCATTGTTGCGGAATGCATTTGCATCTTTGAATAGCAATTTAAAATTGATGGAAACTAAAAATCTGGATAGTAATCAACTCAAAGGAATGAAGCTCAGATCCTTATAGCAGAGAAAAAAGCACCTGTCTCCCTGCTATGATTTCTCTCACCATTACACTTATGATTCTCCTATTCTATTTCCTCAATCTGAACTGACAATGCATGCCGATTGAGACTGTTATTACTTTTTTTCTGCATATAATTTGTTATTAGGGAATACATATTAGATTTATGTTTTAAAACAATTCCACTGGGGAAAATGCTTATAGTCAAATTTTATAGCAAAAGATGTTCTGAGGCATTGTTAGCCTTCCACATCTTTTCACATGAATTCAAAACCTGTATAAGTGTATAGTTCAGTAATTCAGTTGCTTGAGAAAACTGATCCATTGAAACACTTTTCATGGTTTCAATTACCGTGTTTTGCTTTGATTGGAAAACTATGCACAATTGTACATGTTTAAATGCATTCCACACGCTTCAAATTCCATGTATCTGGCTTCCTTTGATTGAAGTTCTGATTGCTAGTAATATTGAATAAATATTTCTATCCTTGCTTTTAAGAAGCAGGACAACCAAGTGAACCAACAGCATAACCATGGATATACATGTGTGAGTCTCTTTCCCTTTGGAGTATAAGTGCATTCTTCTATGGCCACACAACACCTTGTCTGGAAGATTACGTGGTATCCAGCCATTAAGTTAATCTTTATCTAAAATATTTGTTCAAGCATTGTTTGATCCTAATACAATATGATTTATTTCCTGCCTTAGTAATTGTTTCTTCTTCCTTTATCTCTGAATTGTTAGACATCAAGCACAATGAAAATGATAATTCAACAATTCTTGCCTTTAACTTTGGCCCTAATAAATCCCCTCCTTTTTCTTTCTGACAAAACTGCTTTTCTTCAACTTCCTTTTTTGCAGACTCTGATTTTAGATTTGTTTACAATGACTGCCTAAGGAATTGGATTCATGAGTTTACAATGATCACAATCCAGAAATAGTCTAATCGTTTTTAATGTTATTGGCACAAGTTTGAAGTATGCTTTGGATTCACCAAAATAACCTATGAGCTGGTTTGAAATTGCAACTGTTCAAAAGAATTACATAGCAGATACGGTGCAGTGTTATTCTGTGCTGCATCTAGTCTAGACCTGAAATATTGATCTATGTGAATTTTATTACAAAATTGTTTATTTGGTAGGTTTTTGTCTTTAGTAAATAAGCTTGTGATGTACCTAGTGAAGTGAAGCCAGTAACTTTTATATGTCCGCTGTTCAAAACAGGTATGTTTTTACACTGTGACAGTTAACATATACCTGTTTTAAAATCATCAATTGCCTCATTCCCATTTAAAAGCTTCTTGCTTCCACTGTTAATTTGATGCTATTAGCATGTTGAGTTAAGAAACACAGGGTTTTAGTTAAGTTTTTTTGCGGTGTTATTTTTGTTAATTTTGGCCCCAAACTTTGACCTCCCCCGCTTCCCTACAAGCTACATAAATATATGCTGTTGGAATTGACACATTTACTCAAACTTTAGTTCATAGAAAATGCCTAAAAGGAAACCATTTACTGTTTTGAAATTTCTGCATTTTGTGTGATAAAACTTCTGACATGATATCCATGTGCCAATCTTTTGCATCCCACAATGAAAAGAAACAAACGATCAATTTAGTGCACCTTGATACCTAATCCTGGTATTTTATATAGGAAATCATGGTTTGAGATCACATTTATAAACCTATTTTTGTTTGCACATTAAATAAATAGAAAGTTAGGGAATTCTTCGGTGCTGTCATTATTAGTTGAAAATATCACTAGACCTGAAAATTCTATACTGTTGGGTATGCTTATGTTTTGGGCCTGTGATTCAGCGTGAACTTCACAACTGGAGCACCAGAAGAAAGGGTGATGCTTTCAGGATTACATACTGTGGCAGATATTTTTTGCTGTTGCTGTGGTCAGATAATTGGATGGAAATATGTAATCCTCTCTCTTACTGTCTCTGGATTACTTGTATCTGGAAACAATATTACAGATCAAATCTCTTAGATTCTTTTGTTCAAAGGTAGCTGTTAGCTTGCCACACAACTTATGATCATTTCATAATTGCTATTCTCTTGCAGGAATCTGCGCACGAGAAGAGTCAAAAGTATAAAGAAGGGAAGTTTGTTCTTGAAAGGTATTGTTAATTTATTTTCCTGTTATGTTGTCACCTATCTTGGTTTAGGCAATATAGCTGTACATTTTCATGTTTAGTGTTTATACTGATTATGCATATCCTACAACAGAGGAAGGATTGTTGATGAAGTTGATTTCTCCACTGAATTCTATATCGACAGTCGTGCCAGCATGAGTGATGCAGAAGATGCTTAGCATCATGAACCATGCTGGACTTGTTGGATCAGGAGAAAGAATGCACTGCTTTTGTATATGAACAATAATAATAATGACCATGAAAATGTTCAAAATCAATGTAATTTAGTTTTTGTTCTTATTTTTTAAGTATTAGTGCATGAAAAGTGGTAGTTCTCAATAGGGTGTCAACTATAGGTAATGAAAGTGATGAAACGGTTGTTTCAGATTTGCCACCAAAAATCTTTGGAAAGAATTTGGCCTCTTACTTCTTGGTTCGTCATGTATATTTTAAAAGCTGGAAGCAGCAACTATGTTTGAACTTCGAATAGCCCATAATCCAAGTACCTTCCTTTGAAATATGGATAGTGCACAACCTTACTTACCCTACAGTAATTCAACTTTTTATTAAGAGAATGAGAGTAAGAAGGATTGAACTCTAAACTATATGACTGTAAAAGGCTTTGATACCAAGTCATAACTAGAAACGAGCATCTATTTATTTTTTCTAAAAAAAATTATCTAATTATTTAAAAGATTTCTAATTAATGTTTTTATATGAACAAACAACACAGAAGTTACTAAGTTAAGACATTAGCAAGTAATTTAAGTTAATTTTTTCATACTACTAACATGAAATTGTAGAGACAAATACTTAGAGGTGATTACACTACAAGTTGGATTAGTTTTACCATCAAATAAAATATAAACATATTACATCTGATCGGACTGGGTTTAAATGATTTTGTAAAAAGATTTTTAAACAATTCAATCCGAATCAACCCAATATAAAACTTGGGTTTGATATTGATCAAGTTCATTAAGATATTTTGATATTGATCAAGTTCAATCCGAATCAACCCAAGGCCGGATCGGATTGGGTTATCAAATTGTTTATATTACACATATTTATATAAATATTTTAAAATTTAAATAACAAAGGAAAAAACATAAAATAAAGATATTTTTATATTGATCAAGTTCATTAAGTTTGAGAATATATAGTTTGATACTACATTTGATAATGGTCAAATTATACTCTCTATAATTCAATTTAATCTAGCTATCCCAACTAATCTTTTTTGTTTGAGGTCAAGTCGAATTCACAACTTGGAATAAATCCATGATCATCTCTAACAATTTCATGTTGGATATACGTAGGAGGAAAAAAAAAAACAAGAATTCGATCCAAATAAAAATGTAAATTTTTATGGAAAAAAATTAACACAAGAAATGTCGTTACATGAATTGGACAAGAAATAACGTTAACGTCACGTCAATAAAAAGTAAAAAAGCTTCACCTATATATGTTTAGTTTAGACTATAGATATCCTCCACAATTATTTTTAAATTGTATATGAAACTTACAGTTAAATTAAATTAAATATAAAATTTAATACTTCAATATACTACCGTGTTAGGCTCAACAATTTTCGTCTGAATTATTTTAAATCGTTGATAATGTGCACTTTATTATATCAATACACCATTTTAAAAAAAATTATTTAAAATTATATCGAATTGATAAGTAATGAAAATGAAATTTTTTTACCAAAAAAAAAATTGAAAATGAAATTTGCCTAATAAAGCGAGAAAAGCCCAATTGGCGGAAGAGTTGGTTAACCTCAAAGAGGCATAAAAGGGAAAGGGAATAGGCCAATTGGGCGTGTTCGTTATCATAAAGCATCGATCTTTCTTACACCCTTTTGCTTTTCCTCAATTCCTATTCCACTATTCTTACCCTTTCTTCCTCCTCATTTTTTATTTTTTATATTTTTGCCATCCCTTTTGTTTTTGAAATTTTGATTTTGCAGGTCGTTCCAATGGGGAAATCCTCCTCTTCACTCAAGAAGAAACGTTCTAAGAATTCCTCCAAGGTATTCTCATTCTTCTTCTTCTTCTTTGCACTTTAGGGTACTCAATTTTAAGTCTCAGATTGATTCTTAGGTATTCTTATTAATTTAATTTTGGGAAAAAGAAACTAACTTCTGTTTCTGATATTGCTTGTGTTCGTGAACTCAAATTTTGTCATTGTGAGTGTGAATCATGTACTTCAACTAACAGATTTTTGGTTTTTGTTTTCGTCGGGTACTAGGTTATTGTTTCTTCGCTTTAATGTATTGACTTTTTATGTTAGATTTGGTCCTTGAGTTTCCCAACCTCGGTGTGTGTAGTGTGTTGAATTGATTAATTTAATTGAATATGGATTTTCGTAATTTGTCTTCACAATTGTAAATTCATCATGAATTTGTGCATGATTTGATGGTTCAGGCCAAGGCAAGCAGTAGAAGAAAGAGTAGGAAATATAAATCCAAGAAGGTTCGCCGCCGTGAGGTATCTCTCTCTAGTTCTGACTATGATGTTTCAAAAAGTTTGGATCCCTTGGTTTCTTCTAGTTCTGGAGATAGCTACAGAAGAAAAAGGGATCGATCTCGTGGAAGAAAAGATGTGAAAGGTCGTAAGAAAAGAGCAAGGAGATCTTACAGCCGTGACAGCAGTGAGGATTCTCATTATGCTAGGAAGAGAAAAAAGGCGAAGAGGAAAAATGAGTATGATGAGGTGAGGGAGAAACCCTACAAGAAGAAAAAAATTAGGAAAGAAGCAAGTGTTAGTTCAATGAGCAACAGATCGTGGAGCTGTTCAACATGTCAGAAAGAGAGTGCTAGCAGTGACAACGCTCAATATGAGAGCCACAGGGGAAGATCGGAAAAAAAAGAGAAACATCAAAGAAGATTGAAAGGAAGAAGTGGAAGTGATAAGAGTAGTAGATACAAAGCCAGAAGTTGTTCTTCATGCAGTCCCAGTAGTGAAAGTAGTTATGAAGGGACTGAAGAGAAACATGTAGGTGAGAACAATTCCAGGTGGCTTCGGTCAGTTATTACTGTTGCAAAAGAGGCAGAAGAATCTGAGGAATTGTGTAGAAATGAAGTCAAGGAGGAGATTGTTGATGATCATGATTACCCTTGTAGAAGTAATGACAGTAACGATGGGGGCACAAAGAGAGAGTTGGACCATCATATGCTTCTTGCATCAGAAGAGAATTTGAGAGTTGATGATGAGATGGGAGATATGAATTCTGGTCTTAACTTCACAGATCCCGAACTTGGAGATAGGAACCACGATCACAGGAGTAACCTTGAAGTTTATAGTGCTGGAACAAGTGAAGCTATAAAGAAGGAAACAGGTGAGACTTCTGGTGCAGATCAAAATGGTGATGATGATTTGGAGTCAATTCTGAGACAAAGAGCATTGGAGAACTTAAGAAAGTTTCAAGGTGAGAGGCCGTCTACTAGAAAAGCTTCTGATCAGAAAAATAAGATTGTTAACCAGGTGAAACAATCAATTACTGATAAACCTGAACCGGTTCAAGGTAAGTCTATTGTCAATGATGTAGGTGTAGGAACAAAGTTTAATAAGCCAACCCCTGTAGAAGAAACTAATTTGCCTGTTGGGAGAAGAAATTTAATTGCTCATCCAAGAAATAATGAAAGGAGTTTAAACATAGATAAAAATATATCTGGTTCTGCTAAACATCGTTTGTCCTGTGCACCCGACAACACTAGTGGAACAGACACTAAATCCTCTAATCACAGTACAAGCAATTTAGAATTGACCACACAAACACAAAATTCTTGCCATGATTCACTTCAAACCGCTGCTTCAAATGAACTTCCCAATAATGCAAAGCTCCCAGTGACCAAGGGTGATCTAGAAAGGAATCCAGCTAAGACCACTCAAACTGCAATCCGGAGTGTTAATAACAATGGCAGAGATGTTGATGAGTTGCGCAATTCTGCTACCCCTGAATCTTGCTTTGAAGGTTCATCACTAGAGAATAAATCAGGCAAATTGCAAGAAGAATCGAATCAGGGCTCCCAGTTTGAGCAGAAAACAATGAATGTGATGCGGGGTGGTGAAATGGTACAGGTGAGTGTGTGGTAATCTGTCCTAGTGTTAGATTCTGAATGTTACTGCCATAATGACAAGCCCTAAAATACGGCATGTAATCATTTCCTTTACTTGTCCTTTTTCATTACTAATAATTTGTGAATGCCCAGGTTAGCTACAAGGTCTATATCCCTAATAAAGTCCCTGCTTTGGCTAGAAGGCAACTTAAGCGATGATCTTTAATCCTTCTTCTGGGGAATAAAATGGCTTTCGGATGTTGTGCTCTTGTTTGAAACAGAGAAGAGCACCAATTCCATGCGCAGGAAAGTGTAGAAACTTGTGAAGAGATGGTTTGTAGATTCAGTATGAAACCTAAGAACTGCATCAATTTCTCTATTAGCTATATTTTGTTTTAGGTGATATCATATGTTATCTGAATGTAGTCTGTTGCAAGAATATTAATGAAACCATTGTAATAGTTTTTTGGTGGAACATGAAGAAATCTTCTGTCAGCTGTGATGCTGTAGTAGGAATTTGGCGTTGCAGTCTTGGTATCAATGGTATGTGTATAGAAACATGTTGAAAAATTTATACACTGGAATCCAAACCAAAAGATACAACTAGTAGCGTTAAAAGTAAACATTCATGGCCATTCAAATATAAATTGAAACATGCACTTGTTATATAATTTTCACCCCATTCAAAAAGACGAAAAGTACGTTCAAACGGACCAATTGATCAAAACTGTCTCATAGTGGCATAATATAGAGCAGTCGATGGTTCCAAAGCCCACAGCACTAGCCATTGGCAGGCTCTGGCTGGCCGCCTGAGTAAACTTTTTGGAGAAAATAATAAGAGTTTCTTAATCTAGAGTAGTACTTGGAAGGGGTATATCCACTTACTATGCCCGTAACAGCAATTTAAGGCTATGAAAAAGAAAAATATATAAATCGTTGTAATAAATTTTTTTCATTGTGTAATTAAAAGATAGTAAAATTTTATTAAAAATTATGTTAAAATTTATTAAAAAAATAAGAGTGAGTTTAATTTTTATTTCTTAAGTAGTGTTCTTAAGGTACCGATTAACATATCTTTTAATTTTGTTTGTGTTTATTCTCTTACGATGTCAAGAATTTAAATGCCATAAATGGTTATGTTTAATGTGTATTTAGTTCAATTTGTTTTATAAAGTATATTTTTTTAAAATAAACAATTATTTATTTAAAAATGATCGCAGGCAAACATTCACTTAATAAAAAAGGAGAGAGAAAATTATTGAGTAGGATTAATATTAATTTTAACCATCTTAAAACGGTAAAATTTTATTCAAAAATTAAGTATTAAATTATTAATTACCTAAAGAAAATAAAAATATAATTTAGTATATCATAAACCGGTATGTATAAGTAGGAGTAGGAGTTACTGGTGTGGTGGGGTGTCGTTTTGAAAGCAAATATCAATGGTGTTCTCTTCGAATCCCTTAGCCCTCAGCGTGCCGGAACCCGCCTTCGAATCATGGCTACGCGACACCGGCTACCTCGAAATCCTCGACCACCGCACCTCATCTTCCTCCGCCGTCCCCTCCGCCCCTATCCCAGTCGGCGGCATCTTCTCCCGCCTCCTCACCCTCCTATCCCTTTTCACTCTCAACCCCTTCGCTAAACTCACCGCCGACGATTTCGCCGGTGACACCCCTTCCTGGTCTCGCTCCTTCTTCGGCTTCTGCGGATCCTACTCCTTCCCTTCTTCCCCCTCCCAAGCTCGCTTGAGGGTTCAGGAAAACGTTAAGCGCTATGCCCGCAACTATGCCTATCTGTTCATTCTCTTCTTTGCTTGTACTCTGTACAATCTCAATCACCCTCTAATTTTCTTTCGCCCAAGTTTTGATCTTTAATTCAGTTGTTCTACTTTTACTGTCATTATTATATTTGGGAGATTTATAATCTGTTTATTTAAACGGTTTTTCTAACTTGTGGCCTTGACACACAATAAGAAATGAATAAGTTGCAACTTTTTTTTCTCAAATCGTAGTATTTAATTTATCATTATATTGAACCTTATGTTATATTATAATTTTTAATAAAGAATTACCGTATAAAGGGGTTTTTTTCGGTGGTGTTGTTTGAATGGATTGTGTTTGATGGTTGCAGGTATCAGATGCCGCTTGCTCTTGTTGGGTTGATATCATGTTTGGCCTTGTGGGATTTCTTCAAGTTTTGTAGCCATAGATGGGGTTTGGATCAGTATCCAGTCACTCGCCAGTGCTTCATTCGCTTAGCTCAATGTGGTTAGCGATCATTTCTTCAACTTCTTTTGCTTGAGTATGAACTGGTTTTTTATTGCTTTTACCCAAAAAAAGTTATTTGTCGTATAATTTTGCTATAGTTTGATCATAATTTTTTTTGAACAACTTTGGAGGATAGCTTTTAGGAGCTGTTTGGTTGTAGAAACATTTGCAGCTTTTATTTTCTATTTTTAATTTTAATTGGAAACTGCTACCTTTACAAAACATCTATCTTCATTGCTTGTTGTACAAATGTTTGATCGCAGAAAATAAAATGAAAATAAAGTGGTAATTTTATAATTAAAAGCGAAAACTGAAAATGAAAACAAAAAATATTTTTTGAAATCAAACAGTCCCTTGATTGTTCCTTCTAGTTTTTAGGTGAATTTTTTGAAATGCGTGTGTAAAAAAAAATAATAGTATATATATATAGTTAATTTTCACTTTCAAATAACAGAATTGAAGTTTTATTTGGGGTGTAATGTATTGCTGCCTGGACTTTGCATTAGTCATGGACTAACCCAATGCACAATCTTTCATCCCGGCTGCTAAAAAAGAAGAAATTGACTCGCTTTTTCCTTGCACGTATGAAAAAAAATTTAATCTGTTGTGTACTTGGTGGCATAATGTTACGTAGAGATGTCACCTACTGAGTTCATGTAGCAAGCATCTCTTGTATTTTGCATGTATTCCTTTATAGTGCATTGCTTATGGATGCTGGAGAAATATCTCTAACTTAATGTTCATGAAGCTAACTGGAAACTCTCATTTCTGAATCTCATCTTTTTGCAGCAACAGCAGTTATTCTAATATTTTCTAATGTTCAAATGGCTCTCTTTTGTGCCATAAGCGTTAGCTATGCGAGTGAGTCTTTCTACCTTTGTACCCTTATTCCTACCTTGTTTTCTTCTACAATGGATTCTTAAGTTCAATAAATCTATGTAGGCGTGATGCTGCATGCTGCATTCCGGAAACTGACCCCTGCAAAGCAACCTTCCCTGGCCAGAGGTAGAGGTAGATAGATAGTTGGTTAATGAATCAAAGAAATTGGCTCATTTGCCTTTATCCAGCACATCATATGTGGGTGATTCAAGGGATTTTGGTGCACAAGGTTATGCTATAACAATTTAGAACTTAAGGGACAGAACTTTGTCACAGAAGATTGGGCAATGTAGAAATCAGGGGCGGCCAGGCAGGTATTGGCTTAGGTTTTGGATAATCATTTTTGGATAATCATTTCCCATTGGGGGGTGTCATGTCCCCCTCTTTCTGTTTGTGCTGAGAGGATCTAATTCCATGCTTTTGTTGATCACATTTATACGTGTAGGAAGGACTGGAAGGTGTCAATTATTTCTACATTTAACCACTATTCTTTTTTTCATCATTATTATTTTAGATTTGTAATTTTAAATGGCAGACTATAGACATTGAAACTTTGAGTTTGACAAAATTTGATGTGAGAAATAAGAATGATGACACACCAAAAAGAATATATTTTTTTGCTTTTTTAGTTTTATTGGTGATGTTCCTGTGGTTTTGTCCTTTTTTCTTCTAAGGATGTGCCACTGCCGTCTCCAGATTAGTAAAGTTTGTCGCTCCAACTACGGAAAGGAACATTGTACATTAACAGAGAACACCGGACATGTATTAGTGACACAGTTTCTAGGGCATTCATTGTTGACCCATCGTTTGATGTTTGGTGAGAAAAGCATATTGGGAACTTTCTAGTGGCAGGCAACATATGACACGCGGAACAATTCAACAACATTACCTGTCTCATTACTTTTTTTAAAAATTAAATATGTAATTTGAATGTGATTGGACTCGAGTCCAACCGGAAAAGTTTAAATGATCCATAATAAATTAGTATATTTCAACTTAACAAAAATTACAAATCATGGGTAGTGCAGAAGAACCACAGATATGTAACATCCACCTGTTCAGTTGCAGCTTCGTGACCATTCCCAACAGCACATACATAATTCCATCTTACATTTTTGACCCTGCAAGGGACAAACAATAGTGTATTCTTTGGTGTTTGCCGTTATTCTCCCTAGACATTATTATTCTTTTGCAGTGCTACGAACAAATGTTATGCCGTTGACATTTTTCTTATATATATATATATATATATAATTTTATTTTTTCTTTTGATTTTCACCATTGAATATAAAAATCGATAGGATCTTCTACATCTAATCACCCTTTAAATTCCAAAGAAAAGCCTTCAACTTCAGGGAATTCATTCTTACCAAGTCTCTAGTTCTCGACGAGCCATGGAAGCTTAATCTCCTACTCATTATCCTTCCCAAGGGAGCATTGTCTACAAAAGCTGCAAATTTCTTTCAAGATAGCAGTATTGAACAGAATCAGCAATTAAAGCAGTGTGGGAGAAAGTAATTGTAGGCCACTTGGATTCTTGATAGGGCTACCCTTTGCTCTTGTTTCCTTGGTGTTATCTGTGGTGGGCGCTGTTATTTGGATCATTGGGTAAGTTAGGTCCCCCATTATATTTTGTTCTACCTTTCTAGTTTCTAGCAGTGATATATTATGTATTATACATATAGAAGAGGGTTAGGACTTAGTACTTGAACTTTTCAATAAGTATTAACTTGATGTTTATGAATTTGACAGGTCTATGTTGAGCTGCCTGTGCCCTTGTTGCATTTGTTTCTCAGGACTTGCCAACTGCGCCGTTGGCCTTGTCAAACTTCCAATAAAAGTGATTCGATGGTTTACTCATCAGATACCTTGCTGATCATATATCATATATTATCCATGTTCAATATCACATGCAATATTTCAAACTGATTGAATAAGCAAAATTACAATAATGTTTAGCTTCAACTAAGTCATAATATTGATTTTTGAACTATTTCATACCCTTGTGGCTCCCATCAGACTCAGCTTACTGTCACGTGTTTCATATTAAGTGAAATAAAAAAATAAAAATCAGCGTGATATTCAAGTTATAAGTCCTTTTATTTAGGATATTAGAAATATTTATAAAGCATATATCAAAATGATTTATCACTCTTATGAATTATTTTTAATTCATTTTTTCATAGAATTCATTAAAATAAGTTATTTTTAATTTATGTTAAGAAATTTTATCGTCAAATTTATGTGAGATCATGTCTTGTTTCACTCGAGGAATCCTGTGAGATTTAGTGGCTTTCGTTGGAGTAATACGAGGTTTATAAGAATGCTCTCCTATCAACAAATAATTATTTAAACCATGGCATACCACATCGGAGCGGCGAGGACACATTCCCCACGATCATTCCAAACCTTCTTCAGCAATGTTCGAAGTCAATGGAACTGCAACCCCGAAACCTCAACCCAACGGTTCCTACACTCGTGCCCAGAAGCGTTCATCCAGAACATGCTCAAGTTCCGAAGAGACAAATCCACTGAGCAAGTGGAGCAAGCTCTTAACCAATGCGGGTTTGACCTCAACGACCACCTCGTCCTCGACGTGCTTCGACGACATCGTTCTGATTGGAGACCAGCACACATGTTCTTCAACTGGGCCTCCAAAACAACTGGGTATGCCCCAAGTTACCATGTTTACAACGAGATCCTCAACATTCTAGGGAAAGCGAAGCGCTTTCAAGAGTTACACCAAGTGTTCGATGAAATGTCTAAACGAAAGGAACTCGTTAACGAAGCAGTATTCGGGACTTTGCTTCGTAGATTTGTGGGTGCTCATAAAGTAGAAGAAGCAATTGAGTTGTTCCACAAGAGGAAGGAGTTTGGATTGGAGCTTGATTCGGAGGCTTTTCGTACACTCTTGATGTGGTTGTGTCGGTACAAGCATGTGGAGGATGCAGAAACTTTGTTTCATGATAAGGTGAATGAGTTTGGTGGTGATATAAGGATGTGGAATGTGATTCTCAATGGCTGGTGTGTGTTGGGGAACGTGCATGAGGCAAAGAGGTTGTGGAGAGACATAGTGGCATCTAAATGCAAGCCTGATCTTTTCACCTATGCTACTTTCATCAAGGCTTTGACCAAAAAAGGGAAACTTGGGACAGCATTGAGATTGTTCCATGGCATGTGGGAAAAAGGTTGCAAGCCTGATGTTGTGATATGTAATTGCATCATTGATGCTCTTTGTTTCAAGAAGAGGATTCCTGAGGCATTGGAGGTTTTTGATGGCATGAAGGAAAGGGGTTGTGAACCCAATGTGGGTACTTACAATTCGCTTATTAAGTACATGTGTAAGATAAGGCGAATGGGGAAGGTGTATGAATTGGTGGGTGAGATGGAGAGGAGGAAGGGGTGTTGTTTGCCTAGTGTTGTTACTTATTGTTACTTGCTTAAGTCATTGAAGGAGCCAGGGGAAGTTCCCGGGGTGTTGGAGAGGATGGGGAGAAATGGGTGTAGCATGAATGATGATGTTTATAACTTGGTTTTGAGGTTGTACATGAAGTGGGGTGATGAGAATGGAGTGAAGAAAACATGGGAAGAAATGGAGAGGAATGGATGGGGACCAGATAGAAGATCATATACTATAGTGATTCATGAGCACTTTGATAAAGGGAGAGTGAAGGATGCCATGCGTTATTTTGGGGAGATGACATCTAAGGGTATGGTGCCAGAGCCAAGGACAGAGAAGCTGGTGATTTCCGTGAATGATCAGGTGAAGGGGAGAATGGGAAAACAAGGAGGCATTGAAGGGGAGACATCTAGTTTTTGAGATCTTGGAATTCGGTCCTATTGGAAGATGGGTAGACAATGTTTCCTTCAGGCTAGTAGTTCAGCTTGGCAGCTTGAGTCTTTTTGGAACTTGAAGTACATTGAATCCATTTAGAATTTGACAAAACTTAAAGGTAGAGCAAGTGTTGTTTTTCAATTAGAGTTGGAGTTTTACCTCGATTATCTTCGTAAAAGTTTATATTAAAGGTCAATACACCAACATCAACACATACTATCGAGGTAAATTTTCAATTCTGATTGGAGAAGAGGATTAATAGTATCTATTCTACACGGAAGTTTTTTCCTTTAGAATTATGTGAAGCAGGACCTTGGTTGTAAACCATAAAGTAAACCATTTCTGTCAAGTCGTAGAATGGCGCGAGGCAGGTCTGAATCTCATCTCTGTGGGTTGGCGATAATGTTTTATGTAACTGATGTCAAATTGGCATTAGCTGCTATACCAATTCTGCAGAGATTTCAGACTTGTGAATGAGCAATGAGTGGAGAGGTGTTCAGCTTCTCCAAGTATGGTGAGATTGGTTGTCCATCTTTGCAAGCGTGAATTTGAACTGTTAACATTATGCAATTTTTTTACTATGTCACAGCTGGTGTTAGTGCGGAGCAGGTAGACAAATTCTTATGGAGTGCCCAATAGATACTTTATATCATAAATTTTAATCATTATTTTATATGTAAAGGAGCATGTAGAATAATTTCATATGTAAACATATATATTGATATTTGCAGTTATATACTTCATATGATTTTTGATGAAGTTTTTCTTTCCTTCATGATATGATAAATGTCCTATTGAGCGAAAGGGTTTTTGTTTTGCTCGAAATATAACAATATCAAAATATAATGATAATTTTATACGTAAATTTATGATAAATTATCAACAATTAAATAGCACCAAAATTTATTTATTTTATATATAAAGTATGAAAACATTTCAAATATCCCCCCCCCCCCGGTGTTCTGTTGTGGCATTAATATTATCAGAAACAATTTTTGTACAATTGGGAGAGATAAATAATATATACATACATATATATATATATATATATATATATATATATATATTAGGTGTATTTTTTAATGTGTATAAAAAATACTTGTATATATAATATCATATATAATACTAATTTTTAGTTGTTTAAATAATAAATTTGTAATATCAATCAATTTTTTGAGAAATGATGAAATACGAATTGCTCTTCTTAGATATTTGCGCTACTTTGTTTCCTAGGGCCGTTTGCTCTCATTGATAATAAAAAAAAATGTAATTTATTTTATTAATAAATTATATAAATATATTGAGATTGTTATAGTATAAAAATAAATTTATAAATATAAATGTTAATACTTTAAATCTTAAAATATATAAAATAGTCTTTATATTGACTTATCGTAATTTGATAAAAGAATCGAATTAAAGTCATTTAAGAGATTTATTTATTGTTATAATTTTTTCAATAACTAAATTGATATTAAGTTAATTTTAAAAATATAAACAAATAGTATTAATATAAATAAAAAATTATATATTATTAATAATATAAACAAAACATTACTTATTTTATATAATCTATACATAAATCATGAACAACATATAATTAAAAAAATTAAGTTTGATATAATTTTTCAATTTTTATAGTATTATTTATTATTTAAAATTTATTTCAATAGTTTCTTATAACACTAAATATAATTTTTTTATTTAAATGAAATTAAAAATTTAATTAATAAATAATATAAAAAAATTTAATTCAACTCTTAGAATTGAATTTAAATATCTATAAATAAAATTTTTTATAAAAAATATATATTTATTATATTAAAATTATAAAAATATAATAAATATTTTTTAATAAAATTTTATTATTATTAACTATTTAAGAGTACAAAATCTTTTATAAAAAATTTTAAAAATTGTCAAATTTTTCTTTAAAGTGGTGGGAGGAGAAAATAAGCTACTAGAAAGAACCACGAAACGAAGCGTTTTTGGCGGACTTGAATTTGCTGAATCGAGGATCCCTCCAAACTTCCCCGGTATCGGAGATTCGGAGAAGCTGAAGCATGGCAGCATCTACTTCACACGGCGGCGGCGCCGCCCGATTAAGGAACGCTGCTACAACCTTCTGCTCCGACACTCAGCCTCTCATTGCTGTAACTAATATTCATCCCTTTCTCTTCAATGTTTTTCCCTTTTTATCACTCATTTTCTCCCTTTCTTTTAGGATATCCGAAAAACCGTGCTTCTCATGAAGGAAATCGCAGTTCAATTCGAGAAGGAAAACCTTTCTGACAAGGTTCATTGAATTTCGTCGTGTTTGATTGGATTACGAATCACGTGATGATTGAAAATTGAAAACCATTTCAGGTGAAGGAGTTGGAAGATGCGGTTGTTGAGTTAGTAGGTTTATCGGAAATCAGTGTGCATTTTTCTTCTGCAGTTCAAGGTTTTGCGAATACTTACCAGCCTCGAGAACAGGTTCTGGAATGTGAATTGCATGCTAATAGCTTTGGTTGTTCTTATTATTTATATGTATATGTTATCACTTATTATTTAAAAACTAACTATCTTCTTCATGTTCTAAATGCAGTTGACTAATTTTAATAAGTTGTTTGAGGATGAACTTTCCAAGTTTAAGGCCAACTCTGCATCAGATCTTTATAAAAATCCTTTAATTCGCCAATTTAAGGAAGCAGTGTGGGTATGTTGTTTCTTGGTTTTACCGTGTAGATGAAAAAATATATCACTTTTGTTGTCTTATTTGTCCTTTGGTGAGTGCTACCGTTTCTTTTGGAATATCTTGTTCATTCAGTAATAGTAATTGGCTTAAGATTGGGAAATCTAGCACTCCTCTAGAGTGTTCTCTATATTCTGGCAATGTCAGAGAATAGAGATGTAGCTGCTGTCTCTGGTTAGGTATGAACATGTTGTCGCAATGAGACATATGTACTGAGTGAGAGAGAAGGAGAGAGAGAGATGAAGTAAACACTGGTTTGTGCTTTGCACATTCTAATATGCATTTCAGTTTGTAATATTTTGCTTCTGCGATGCTGTTTAAAAGAAAGTTGTTTGTGCAACTTCAGTGATAATATATTACTACAGAGTACTGATGCTTTTATGAGTTCCTTCGGCAAGAGTGTTGTTAGCTGAATTCCTGTCACCAATCTAATGTGCTTGCTGTTTATCTGGGTTGTTAGAATGTTCATCATGCGGGACAGCCAATGCCAGGTGAGGAGCAGGAGGAAATTGTAATGACCGGTACTCAATCTAATATTTTGAATATTACTTGTCCATTGACTGGAAAACCTATTACCGAGCTTGCAGAACCAGTTCGCAGGTACCATATCTGTTTCTGTTAGTAATGTTTTCCTTCAATATTAGAAGTTTGAGTCACAACTTTTTGTTTTTCTTTCCATTAAAGTTCACATAGTTTGATTAATTGAATTATTTTACCTTCATGATGTTTGTTTCTTAACATATTTGTAAATTTGCAAAGTATGCATGTGTAATCATCACTTCCTAGGCAAATAGGTAAATGGAAAATAATCCTAGTCATGGGTTGAAAAAATTGATTCCAAAATGATTGGTAAAATGTTTGATAATTCTAGGTTTAATCTGTGTCTGTTAAACACCAAATTTTCAGCAAATTCTTCTTGGAATGGTTAATGAAGGATATTGAGCATGTTAAGCCAAGTTTCTGGCCGACTATGGGGGTGTAATTATAGTCTATGCTGCTGATTTATTCAGCAGTAAAGATACAGATTATCGATATGTTTTAAGATCCTTCACCTCCCGTCTTTGATAGAAAGGATGTAAATGAGTTGGCTTAGGGTTGAAGGCTGAAGAACCCAAAGCCACATGAAAACCCAACCCAGTAAGAAAGATATGTCTGTATTTGTCTCCTTATCCATTTGGCTGTGTTTTCTTCTCAGATATGAGAAACAAGAGTTATAGTTACTACAACAGACTACTAAAAATTGACTCTGAAGATGGCTTATTTGCTGTGAAGTGTGAATTATATGACTGATAAAAATAGAAAATATTATGATGTGTATAAAGATGTTGTATAGACTTAGGAACTGATTTTACCGGTAAGAAAGGTTAAGAGTAGCTACACTAGAAATGAATTCTGGAATTTCTTGGAATACAGTAACAGGAATGAAAATTACAAAAAAAAAAAAAAAAAACAAAATGATTCAACCGGAAGTTTAGTGTGCTATGCTTTAGGAGAGGCCTACCCCACTCAGAACCACCTATTATTCTCAATTTTCTACTTTTTGTTTACATCTGTTCCAGCTTTCCCATCCTTGTCTGCACCATGCAGAACTAGTTCCTTACAGAAAGAGTAATCTGTCAGAACAGAAAAGTGTATAAAATAACAGATAAATCTTGAGTTCTGCTGATCAAAACTTCTGGCCAAACCTATGCCCATTTCCTCTCAATTCATGCCTCTCCACTCCTCTCTCCTTCCCCCATCCTCTCTTTTGTATCCTATCTACTTCCTTGCTTTGCTTGCCATCTGCCACATATGTTGGCACTTGGGTTATTACACAACAGAATCACTTTGCACCCCTTGCCTGCATGAGAGATTGATTTTCTGCTGCCCCATTGATTTTTTGTGCAGCATACAGCCTATATATGGTTGGGTATCTATCATTTAAACTATTAACTAAATTTGTATGGAATCCATGAAGATTCTTATTTGAACTGTTTGTATGAGTGGGCAAAGATCAAGTGTAATCATCATGCACACAAAGTTAAATATAACTTTTGGCCTTTGATGTTTTTACTTTAGAGGTATATCCTGGAGATGGAACCTTCATGAGGAGGGTTACTGCTGTACCACCATGGTAACAGCTGCTTGGAGTATTCGCTGCATCCATGGTGTTTAGCTTGTTTTTGTAGTATGAGATAAAAGATTACTGCAAGTTTATGTATTTGTACTAAAATGCATGTTGTGGGGAAGATCTAGTGAATGGAATTCAGGTATTGATATATCGATTTTTCTAACTGACTCAAAGGCACACATTAAGAAATCAATAAATAGTAAGGTTTTGTTGGAAATTGTAGTATTTAATGTTATCAATCTATTATTTATGCAATATCTTATAACTTTTTAATCGAAAAATTACAATACATAGAGTCTTATTTTGTACCCTAGGGCACACATAAAAAAAATTGATATATTATTATTTAAGTTACTCATGTTTCTCTTTCATTGATGCAGTTTGGAATGCAGGCACATTTATGAAAAGAAAGTAATTATGCAATATTTAAAGTCAAAGCAACACCGTGGTCGATGCCCAATATCAGGTATAGATAATTGTTGTCTGACTTTTACTTCAATCCTGAGCTACCACTGCGTTTCTCTTTAACCAAATATGTGTCCGTCAGGTTGCCCAAAGATATTGCAGGCAGATAAGCTGGTGCATGATCCGTTGTTACTGGTTGAGATTGATGAAATGCGCAAAATGAATAAAGAAACTGATGTAGAAGATTTTACCATGCTTAGTGAAGATTAGGGATTAATTAAACCAACTGCTGATAGGATTTTATCTGTAAATTCTAGTAGTTTTGGACATCCACTTGCTCGTGGTCCATTACTTGTGTTAATATTTTTGGGCTGTGTACGCTTGTTTTCAGGAAAAGTGTAATATCCTAGACATGCCAGACTTGCAAATTTGCAACACTTGCATATATCAGTGTTGTTTCTATGATGGCGTCATGTTCCATGATTTATCTCATTGCTCAACCTTGCAGCCTGGTACTCTGCTTTGCCTGTTATCTTTTTGTTTATAATTTTTGTTTTCCTACTTTCTATTATACTTCTGATCTGACTCTACTGGAAGTTTAGAATATAAATGTTACAAAATAATAGAGTAAAAAAAGGATGACCCAATGGACCGGACGAGATTCCACCGAGTGGGGTGGGAAATTGAACTTGTGAACACTAGGATATAACGCAGCAACCTCACTGCTGTGCTAAACTTTGCCCTCACAAATGTTACAGAGTACAAAACGTATTATCCATCTGTCCAGGATATAGGATACATTTTTTACTTCTATTTTCATTTGCATTGAGGCTCTATGTTCTTGTTTTCTTTTTCATTTTCAGTGCACACGGGATTTTTGCTCTAGTAACATATAATTCCTTGCGGCTACCAAATTATGAGCTAGTTTAATTCTTCTAATGGTGGAATATTATGTGATTAGATAATGATGTAAACTAAAATTCTTGCTTTCTGACTTACATTATGTATAATATTTGCATAAATTATTTATTCTTACTACGTGCATTATGCATGATGTTTCATGTTTAGCTTTTATAAATCACTTCTGCATGTCTACATTTTAATTACGTGTTTACCATGCATGTGTCGTCTCTCATTGCATAGGGAAAAGAAAATTTAAATTTGATTGCTCAAGGCTCAAGTTAAGCAATCAAAGAATTCCGTTTAACAGTTTGTACGGCATAAAGTAATATTTTTTCAATTTCAGTAATATAAGTACTTAGGATTTAAATTATATTCAAATATAAACCGATTATAATTTGTAAAATATATTATTTGATGATAAAAAAATTTAGAGTCCCAAATTGAGATTCAAAATATCCTAATTATTAGTAAGAATCTTTTGTGTGTACACACTGATTTATAAGAAGTTTTAAATTTAGGTAAAATTGTAAAAATATAAATTAATTATTTAAGAAAAATAGAATTATAAAAAAATAATGTTTAATGAAATTAAGTAAAAAATTTTAAAACTATAAAAAAATTATAATTAGTAAGAAGATACACAATATTTACAATTTTAAAAAAATTGTGTATTATTTTTAAAAAAGAATAAATAAATACGTTGTTTAAAGAAAAATAGACTCTAATTGGACACACATACATAATGATGGATCCAAGACCATTGTGAGAGCAAATTCATAAGAAAAATTAAAATTGACCAATTATTTTCATATGAAAATAAATATATAAATGTTAAAGTTATGTAAAATTTCAATACATGAGTTAGGATATAAGATTAAATGATGTTAAACGTTAAATTTAGAAAAATATGATTTTAATAAAATACTTTTAATAATATTTTATTAAAAGTAAAATTTATCAATTCAATCACTAATGATTCTTGTAATATTATGCATATTTTATGTAATTTAAACATTTTTAAACGTATAATTTAATTATAATTATATATTTATACTATATATTATATTATTTACTAAAATATAGTATAATAATACAGTATCAATTATTATTGAAATTATATAAAGTTTTATAAATTTAATTTGTTTTATAAAAAACATTAATTTAAACTATTGAATTGATATTTTTTACAAAAAAAAAAATAGATATGTTGTTTTATTAAATTTAACAACTTGAGTTATTTAATACTAAGTCTCAATTAGAGATGGAAATAGGACAAGTCATTTAATAGGAGTCTATGACCTATCCTTTTTAAAACCTAATTCGGTTTAACTTATTTAATTAATAGTCTTAATTTAGACTTTTTAAAAAATTTAATTAATTAAATAAGTGAAGCTTGTGCTTAAGAAAAAACTAATTAAATCTATTAAAATAACTTATTTAAAATTTATAATAATATATTAAATAATTTTATATAAAAATTATAATATAAAATATATTAAAATAATAATTTTTAATTAAAAACTTTAATTTTTTCGTTGGAGTTGAATAATGTCTCTATTATATATCCTAAAAAAGATAGTCTTATTAAATTTTTCAATACAAAAAAGTACCTATTTAGATGGTTTAATAGCCTATTTATAAAGAAACTCAATAACTTATTAAATGTCTTAATATAGACTATTAAAAAGGCTAATAGGCTAAATCAGACTTTTAAAAAAGCTAAACTTAATAAAAAATTTATGAAAAATAATAGATCAAACTTAAGCTTTAAAATTATTAAACAAACTAAGTCTATTTATGCAAAATTTAGCTTAACCTATTTTCATCCATAACCTCAATGTGTATAATTAAATAAATTAAATATCTTATACTTATTCATTTTTATTTTTTTTGTACTTTGAATAAATTATCTTCAAACATAGTTGCATTTGTTTAGCCTCAAATGATAGTTTCAAGTGAGGTGATGTATTTGTCTATCTTTAGGTTCACACGTGAATATACAAATATATTTAATTATGTTACAAATTTATGGAGTAAATATTTATTTTAGTTCTTAAAATATGCCACGTTATAAAGATTAATCATTTAAAATTAAAATTTTATTATTAACTTCTAAGATTAAAAATTATTAATTTAGTATTTGTTATTAAAAAATATTACAATTGAGTATCAAAATAATGTTTTATTTTAAATAAAATATTAAGGCTCATTTTGAACACAATAATTTAATATCTTTAAAAAATAGTTCATTACTCATCCTTATCTTTTAAGATTTTTGAACATTAACATCTATTATTTTTTTCATCATTTTTTGTGATGTTTTCTTTCTTTCTTTTAGAGTGTCTAGTTGAGCAAACTCTTTCTCCTAACCATGACAATCACTTCATTTGTCTCATGATTGTTAAATAAGTTTTGTTCAGTCAAAGAGTGTGACAAGGAATCATTTGACTTAATTTTGGCCATAACATAATGACAAGTTAACAAAGAATTTTATTGTAAAAATCAAAGAGAAAAATGAAATGTTTAACATAGTTATTAAGAAGTGAATCTTACTGTTGTAGAAGAATGAGAAGAAAAAGAAGTAGGAGAAAAAAAAATAAAAATATTTTATTATTCAGAAATTTTAAAAATCAATGATAAAAAAGAAATATTTTTAAAATATTTTAAAATAATATTATTTTTTAAAAAAATAAAATTTGTTGTATCACTTAAAATGATAAATTATTAATTTATTATTCAAATTAAACAATTTTTGATGATAATAGTTAAGCTAATTGACAATTCTTATTTTAAAGTAACGTTTAAAATCTTAATTTTAAAGAATTGATGTTAACAATATTGCACATTTAACGAATTAAAGTAAAAAAATTATCCATAATTATCAAAGATTCAGGTTGGTTCCCCGCTAAATTTTACTTTCTTTGCAATAGTGGATATTGTCCGTATTATGCGTGAGAAAAGCATCACATGCCAAATGCGAAAATGTCGTTCAAATTTGTTGGTGCTGGTCATTTACCCCTTTTCATCAATTTCAAGTCTGAATGAGAGATTTATCCAGAGATATTTGTTTGGTAACTGGAATTCTTGAATACATACCAAATCCATCACCCTCAATTACTTATAATTTCACATTAATCTTTGATGTTTACTTTTTACTTTAAACAATAATCTAAACACAAAAATTAAGAAAAATATAAAAAAATAGAGAAATACACGCAAGTGCAAAAGTAGTCCCCGCAAAAGTATCCAATACAATACTTATTTAAATTTTTATAGAGCCGTTGCCCTTTCAAAATATAAACATACGCCCCAATACCCTCCCAATTTGCTTTATATTTGGGGGTCATGCAAACTTACATATTGGCGGCAACATTGTGTTGGGGATAAAAGAAATTAAATTATTTTAAGCGAAAATACACTATTGACACACATCCCAACTCCTTCTTCAAGAGCGTGTAACATCCCTTCTTTTCATTCCAAACAAACCAACGAGTGTTGATTCTTCAATCCCACACCTAACCATCGGGTGCAGATCACGCAAAATACTAGCGCGTGTTCACTTGGATACGTAAATCAGAGCAAAAACCCTCTTATTTTTCACTCTCACACGCCCTATTCTTTCGCTCTGGGCACGGAAAACAAATTTCAGAGAAAAAAAGCACAGAAAAACGAAGAAGTCTCAGGGAACCCCAAAACCCAGAAACCTAATCTTCACTGAAAAAATGAAAACCTCCTTTAATCGAAGCAAAACTCCTGCGAAGAAGATACTTAGCGAGTTCGATTTCTAGGGTTTCTGCGTCCCCCAAAAGTTCATCCCCTTGGACCATCAAGCTCAACCCAACTGGGGTCACTAACAGTTTTTCTTCTGAATCGGAGCATTTTCGATCACCCAATTCGACGAAGAAGAGAATCGGCCAAATGCCCATTTGCTAGTTTTTTAGAGAGCCAAAAAGTTTCGCTTTTCATTTTTCCCCTATTTTTTCTGTGTGGTGATTGTTTTGCTTTCTGGTCATGCGATCATCGCCATCCTCGTCGGGTTCGTCGTTGGGCATTGGCCGATCGGGTTTGCGGCTTCGGAAGAAGCATAAGAGGTTGGATGCAATATGCGAGGAAGAGTACAATCGAAACCATGTTGAGTTCAATGAGGATAATGGTGATTTAGACCCTGATGCAGGGGTTCGTCGAAGCTCCCGGGTTCGCCGTGCCCCAGTATTGCTCGACGCCTCTCCTCCTCCGCCAAAGAAGCGGCGGAGGCTAGGGAAAGATGGAATTGGCCATGGTGTGGAGGGTGTCAAGAGTTTAGGGCGGGAAAATAGGGGTTCTGGCGGGACTTGGAATTCTAGGTTGAGATCAAGTGTCAGGAGTGTCGGTTTTCGAGTGAAGAAGGAGAGGCAATCACCCCGTGGGAAGAGAAAGTTGTTTGAGGATGAGGGTGTAAGTAAGGATGAGGAGGTTGATGGGAAAGATGAGTTGGAAGGTTTGAAGCCAAAAATAGTTAAGTCGAAGAGACCGGGGAGAATCAAAGCCACAAAACATGAAGAAGGGCATGAAGAGAATGTGTCTCATGGGAGTTTAGATGAGAGCAAGAGTCAGGAAGTGGAGCTCGTATTGAACAAGGGTGAGGAGTGTGTTTCTGTTCCTGGAACTGAATTGTCGGGAGGGATTGAGATAGATAATTTGGATGGAAATGACTCACCTATGATAGGGAATGAGGAGAGGATCTTATCCAACAATTTGCAAACTGGGGAGTGTGGTGGTGACATTGAACTGTCTCCTGTCAGTCCGGTGGAACATGAGGATAAACAGGATGAGCAGTTAGAGGGTTTGAAGGAAAGCAAAAATGTAGGTGATGTAGCTGAACAGGTAGATAATGAGGGTTCTCTTGGCAAGGAGGTTGATGACATTAACGAAAATGTCTTGAAAGATGCAAATGTTGAGAGAACAGACGAGTTGAAACATGCTTCGAATGACAAACGTGGCCACCAACGAATCAAAGAGGGTAGGCGGTGTGGTTTGTGCGGTGGAGGGAGTGATGGTAAGCCTCCAAAAAGGTTAGCTCAGGATAATGGGGAAAGTGAAAATGAAGCTTATAGTGGGTCATCATCTTCTGAGGAGCCTAATTATGATCTCTGGGATGGTTTTGATGATGAACCTGGTTGGCTTGGGCGTCTCTTGGGTCCTATTAATGATCACTATGGTATTGCTAGAATATGGGTTCATCTGCACTGTGCTGTATGGAGTCCAGAGGTGTGGTTTTAATTTGACAGTTTCTGAATCTTGGTTTGCATCATGAAACTCTAAATATGTGAGCTTGAGGTTTATGTGGACTTGAGAGAATAACGTAGCAGACTTGTTGATTATAGTGACATTTTAAAACCTAATACAATCTCTGTTGGCAGTGAGAGTCTTGCTTTCTTAATTGTTAACAAAGCAGAATATGTGCAAATCACTAATATGTCTTAAGTTGAGTCATGGCATAAACAACTTTCCCCATTTCTTTTACTCTGGGAATAGAACTTACATAAGGGATATAAAAGATAACTGTTTGCTTTTACAGTACTTGGCCTTGGATGTAGATTAAACCCTAGACACAAGGTAAAATGCTTTATACTATTGAAGCTCCCTCATTTCTAAAACTTTTTATACACTTCTTTTTATAAAAATTCTGTGCACCATTTTAATTTTTGTCATCTGTCCCAATTTCCAAATTCAACTATAAACATTTTTTTGGGCTTGAAAATATACGTGTTAAACCTTTTTTAGTAGAATATGGATGTTACATAATTAATATTGTCCATACTAATGAGCACACATACTATTTTAAAAAAATGAGAACACATTGCCATTTCAAGAACATCTTTTCCATCTCTGGTAAATTTTATCAACTTAATAGTTTTGTTGCTCAGAGTTGTCATGCTCAAATAATCTGCCAATGTGTAGCTTGGTAACCTTTTATGTTAAAGTAAAATTTCATTGTGACAATTTTGCAGGTGTATTTTGCTGACTTTGGATGCTTGAAAAATGTGCGTGCTGCACTTTTTCGAGGCAGGGCATTGAAGTGTACACGCTGTGGGAGGCGAGGGGCAACCACTGGTTGTCGTGTTGATCGTTGTCCAAAAACTTATCACTTGGTTGGTCACATGTTCTCTCGTTAAGAATGACATTTGCAAATATTCTCAACTCCCTTTATTTTGCTTCTACAAGCAAGGAAAGCATTCTTTTATACCAACCATAATCAGAATTAACACCATATCTGTGTTTTGCAGCCTTGTGCGAGAGCAAGTGGTTGCATCTTTGATCATCGTAAATTTCTTATAGCCTGCACAGACCATCGGCATCTCTTCCAACCTCGTGGTAATAAATATTTAGCCCGGATAAAGAAGTTAAGGGCTAGGAAAATGATGTTGGAGATAAGGAAGCGATCAAATGATGCTTGTAGAAAAGATATTGTGGAAGAAGAGAGATGGTTGGAAAATTGTGGAGAGGATGAAGAATTTTTGAAACGTGAGAACAAGAGGCTTCATCGTGATTTATTGAGAATAGCCCCTGTGTACATTGGTGGTTCAGACTCTACCAGTGAAAGTTCATTTCAAGGATGGGAATCTGTTGCTGGGCTTAAAGATGTCATCCGTTGTATGAAAGAAGTTGTTATTCTACCTCTGCTATATCCTGAGCTCTTTGATAATTTAGGGCTTACACCTCCAAGAGGTGTTCTTTTGCATGGGCATCCTGGAACAGGGAAAACCTTAGTGGTCCGGGCATTGATAGGTGCATGTGCTCGTGGAGATAAACGGATTGCATATTTTGCCCGTAAAGGTGCAGATTGCTTGGGGAAATATGTAGGTGATGCTGAGCGTCAACTAAGGCTATTATTTCAGGTTGCTGAGAGATGTCAACCTTCTATAATATTCTTTGATGAAATAGATGGACTGGCACCCTGCCGAACTAGGCAGCAAGATCAGACACATAGTTCTGTTGTGTCAACTTTGCTTGCTCTTATGGATGGTTTGAAATCTAGGGGTTCAGTTGTGGTCATTGGTGCAACAAACCGTCCTGAAGCTGTTGACCCTGCGCTTAGGCGCCCTGGTAGATTTGATCGGGAAATTTATTTTCCATTACCATCAATTGAGGACAGAGCTTCCATACTATCACTTCACACCCAGAAGTGGCCAAAACCAATTACTGGAGCCTTGCTTGAGTGGATTGCAAGAAAAACACCTGGCTTTGCTGGTGCTGATCTCCAGGCTCTTTGTACTCAGGCGGCCATCAATGCATTGAAGAGGAATTTCCCTTTGGAAGAAGTGCTGTCTTTAGCTGAAGGAAAATATTCAGGTTGTAAGCATGTTCCTCTTCCATCCTTTGCAGTGGAGGAGAGGGATTGGTTAGAGGCTTTTTTATCTTCTCCTCCACCTTGCTCCCGGAGAGATGCTGGAAATGCTGCTAATGATGTAGTCTGCTACCCTCTTCCTAGCCAACTTATTCCTTGTTTGTTGCGGCCATTATGCGCCCTTCTTGTATCTCTTTATCTTGATGAACGTCTATGGTTACCCCTTTCCATATCTAAAGCTGTATTAATGATAAAGGATGTCATGATTTCTGCTCTAGACAAAAAGAATAAGCCTTTTGATCGTTGGTGGTTGCACATGGATGATTTTCTTCAAGAAACAAATATTGCTTATGAGGTAAAGAGAAAGCTTAGTTGTTCTGGTGTTTTATCTGTGGATGATGGCTTTGATGGTTCATATGATACTGTGGATGATGCCAATAATGACATGCTAAAGTTAGAACCCTCCATAAGGAACCATCTTGTCATGCGTAATGGTTTATTGCCAGTCATGCCATTTGCATTGACCAATAAATCAGGATTTCGGTTATTAATTTCTGGAAATCCGCGATCTGGCCAGAGACATATTGTTTCTTGCCTTCTCCACTGCTTTGTTGGGAATATTGAAATACAGAAGATTGATATGGCTACTATTTCACTAGAAGGGCACGGAGATGTGGCACAAGGGATTGCTCAACTATTAAGTACGCTTTTCTTTTCTATTTGTCGGTTAGTAATGTTGATTTTTGTTCTTTTGGAGTCACTTTTGACTAAGTGTGCTAATTATTAACAAAACTCCAGAGATCTAATAAACTGTCAATCATTTGTTTGTTGTTGTTGAGGTTATGACTTATAACTTGGGGTTGCAAAGGTAATGCTTCCCTTCCCCATGTCCCTCTTGCTGCTGAAAGGTGCTAAGTGTGAGAGACAAGCTGATTTTGTTGCTCTATGTGGAAATATTGATACTCAATTTTTTCATAAATGTAGCAAATTTTACATCTGATACTCAGTACTTGATTTCTATGTGACAGTGAAATGTGCTAGCAGGCAATCTTGCATAGTATTCATGCCAAGAATTGATTTATGGGCTGTGGAGAAACATTTCCAAATTGCTGAAAAAACTGATTCATGCTTAACGATGGACAAGTCTTGTTTCACTCCAAACAAGGTTGTTAATAAGAAAAATGAGGTCGGTACTGAGAAAAATTCATCAGTGATTACTGAAGGCCAAGCCAACACAAAGGCTTCATATGCCTGGATGTCATTCATTGAGCAGGTGGAGTCCATTGGTGTATCCACATCCTTGATGATTCTGGTATGAATACTTTCTACTAGCTTTTTATAATCAAGAACCTTTATACAATTGGTTCCTAGGTTTTTGCTCCTTTTTACATGTTAAATGTTGATTTATGTTTTTATAGAATTTCCAATTTCTTAATTGTCATGTAAGAGTTTACATTAATATAATTTCATATTCATATTGATTAATTCTTATGGGTGTTAATATTATGATACAGTTGTTTGTATGGTAAAATTGTTGGGCAAAATGGTACTCCTTAGTCATTTTTTTATCTTTTAATTATCCTTCATTTTTGCAAGAATTGGTCATTATTGTAATATTAGCTAGACATATATGATATTTTATATTTGGTAGTAGATCCTTATGCATTTTTTTCATTTGTAACAGGCGACTTCAGAAGTTCCCTGTACAGAACTTCCACACAAGATGCGAGAATTCTTCAAGAGTTATCAATATAAAGACAGCCTGTCAACTCCTTTTGAGCAGTCAGTTCCTCGATTCTCTGTGCAGATTGATGGGAATTTTGATCATGACTTGGTTATCAATCAATCAGCAGCAGAGATCTTGAGAAATGTAGTTGTGCAGCAGGTTCAATTGATTCATCAGATATCTCATGTTCATATGGGTATCCAGAAGGGCCAAAGAACCCATGAATCAATTGAAGTTTGTAAAGACACGGCATGTCAAAGGAAAGAAAATGGATCAACCAATGATAAGAAGGGTGAAATTCCACTCGAACCCTTTACAAAAGTTCCACCACCACCCAACAGTAAGTCACTGAAGGGAAAATCAACCCTGTTGTTGGCAATATCCACGTTTGGCTATCAAATTCTTCTATACCCACATTTTGCTGAACTTTGTTGGGTTACATCAAAACTCAAAGAAGGTCCTTGTGCTGATGTAAGTGGACCTTGGAGGGGATGGCCTTTTAATTCCTGTGTAATTCGTCCTAATGATTCACAAGACAAGGTGGTAGTTTCTTGTAGCTCTGGTGGCATTAAAAGCAAAGAAAGATCTGGTTTAGTGAGAGGCTTGATTGCTGTTGGTTTATCAGCATACAGGGGGGTTTATAAATCAGTTAGGGAAGTGGCTGTTGATGTAAGGAAGGTTCTTGAGATCTTAATTGAGAAAATCAATACTAAAATTCAAGCTGGGAAAGATAGATATCAATACCTTCGTATTTTATCACAAGTGGCTTATTTAGAAGATATGGTCAACAACTGGGCTTATGCATTGCTTAGGTATTAACTACTCTTTCTTTACTATATGTATGGCTTTTTGTGTCCTATATTTTGGGCCTGGTTTCTACTCTAACGATAATTCCTTTCCCTTTTAGTCTGGATCAGGATTCCCCTGAGCATAAAGCCAAGGTTGTACCAGCAAGTGGTGGGTCATTAAACAGTCATCACACATGCGAAAATCACCAAACTGAAGGTGAGGGTAGCCGCTTGGTTGCTCATGTAGATGGTGATGATTTGGAGACTCTGGAGGGAAGTGGCAAAGAAATTCCTACTGAAACAACTGGATGTCTTGCCTCTAATAACAAAAATGATAATTTCGATAATCTTGATTGTGACAGTGAAAATGTTAGTTGTAAAGGGTCTCTACAAAATCATTCTTTTTCAGATAAGCATATCAACAGCTCTGTTGCTGCAAACCGACCTCTTAATCCATCCATAAATCAGGAGAATGGGACATTATGTGGACAATCTGAACCTGTAACTTCTGGAAATGTAGTGACTGAAGAACTTGGGATGTCAAAAGAATTCAACGAATCCTCATGCACACACACACTGGTTCTTTCTGAAAATGGACTTCACCCTGCCAGCGAACCACAGAATGTCGAGGCTGGTAACATGAGTACAGTCTCTGATCAGCCTCATAGCTTGTCCACAGAGGAGACTGGCATTAAGTCAAGTGAAGCTAAATCTGGTGAACGTGAGAATGCCATAGACAGTGGTGTCTCTTCAAGTAAGGGCAGTGGTCCTGTTAAATCTGAGGTCATCTGCTTGTATCAATGTTGCCCTTCATGTCTCTGCAGTCTCTATCATTTGACAAAGAAAATACTCGTTCGCGAGTTGGGGTTGGATAGCGGTCAAAAGACAGTAGAAGATGTCCATGATGTCGTTGCATCATTATCTGTGGATATTATTTCAGCAGTTAGAAAATGTTTTATGGCTGAAGATCTCATTGTTATTTCAAATGAAACCTCGAGACATGAAAAGCATGGAACGTCTCTTGACTGTTTGAACCTGAATACATGTCCTCCTGGGAACCCAGGCAAAAAAGTGGTGGTGCCAGCTGACTGTGTTTCTCACTCAGCAAGCCAACATGCAACTGCAATCAAAGATATGGTATTGAATGAAACACCTAAGCTTGATCTAAAATTTGTTTTCAAAGATGGTGTACTATTTCATATTGACCCAGAAAAGGATCTGCCTCGTCACTGTAAATTTGAGAACTTGTGCCTTTGTTCTCTAAGAGAGTTGATAGTAATGACAAAACGCCCTTTTGATTAGGCTATTATTTCATAGCCTGGATTGCTTAGCAATTTTTTTGATGCTTATGAGGCATTTGTATATAACTTCTTCTGAGATTAAAATTTAGTTTTGACCAGGAAATTCCCATGCAATTTCAAGTGCTTACTTCATCAAAACCCAGACAGCCTTGAATTCTCATATGTCATCTAACTTATCTGACTTGATTATTTCCAAAGACTCTAACCGAACATAAAGTTTCACGTGTGTTACTCCTTGAGCGTTGCCCAAAATTCCTTCTAATTACTAAATTATCATTTTACTTATTATTCTCAGACTTCCATGATGTATATATTCTTGCAAATGTTTATAAATGTTTTTTTTTTCTAATTCAAAATTAATTGGAAAGGAGAGGAGGTTGGAGTTGTTATTAGTCTTGATTAAAATTTTGTGATGCGAATTACTTATTTAATGAAACATGTACATAAATCAATAATGCATCCATGTTGATAATGTATTTCTGCTTTAACTATATATATCATTGGCTGCAAGAATTGTAACCTGGCAATGGCTGGGTCAGTGCCTCCAGTGTTCCTTGCGGGGGCATAAGCACTACTGTCAGTACAGGCTCACTGCACAAACCACGTTATAGCAAAATGGTTTGATGCCCCACTTGCAGCTTCTGGTTAGTGGTAAACAATGTGCAATGTTATAGGCACAAGGCCATGTTTTATTGCACTCAGTGCTGTCTCATGGCTAAGACAAGTAGGTGTATAAGAGACCAAAATGTATTGATAGATTAGATTTGATGTTACCCACATGGGCACCCACACCAAGTTGCTGTACATTTTGAAAAAAGTTATTTTTCAGAAATTTTACAAAAATGTTTATGGAAATAAGTTAACAAGAGTTTATAAAAGTCATAAGTTATTTCTATAAGTTGCTCATAAATTCTTCTAAATATCCCCTAATCTAATTAACCTAACTGAATATAAAATGTAAACAATGGTAAAGTTATTTAAGCTAACAATGTGTGGGGTTACCTGATCGTTGGATAGAATTTCAGAACTGGAATATGAATCTTCTTGATGATTAAAAGGTACTCTGACGCATAAATTTAGCAAATATATTTGTAAGTGTACTAGCGTGAGAGAAATACTTGATCATACCCGTAGGTTTCCCTTTATATAGGATGTATTTCCTTATCTTTAAGAAAAATTATCATTGCAAGATTTGATAAGCTATCCTTTAAATGATAAGATGACGATTAATTAATATATTATTAGTGTAATTTGTTATAAAAATAAGTTTAAATATATTTTATGTCTTCACATTTTAATGCATTTTTTTAATCCTTTTAAATAAATTTTTTATTTAAATTCTTAATTTTTTAGTAATTTTTTATTTTTAGTTCATAATGTTGTAATCAAATAAAGAATTAACACGTGATAGCATTTCAATAGACTAGATTAGCATTAAAAAAAAAAAACAAAAATTTATAAAAAAGTAGGAATTAAAAAAAATTCAATTGAAAGATGAAAACATAAAATTTATTAAAATGTAATGATAAAAATATATTTAAACTTAAAAGATATTAGAAATATCCTCGTAGTTGAGTTTATGTCATGTATACGTTTGTGGGAACTATTATATAGTTGATTCTTGTTTACTGCAAATTAATAAATACAAACAAAACTTTTGGTGTAATGAGTTTTTTCTCTAGTTTCCTATAAAAGGATGCTTTTGTCTTATAGTTGTATGGAAGGAGATTTTTATAGGAAAAAGAGAAAAATAATTTGTTATTCTGAAATTAAAAGAATTATTTTTATTTATGATAATAAAAAAATTGATGCATTAAGTTTATATTAATATACCAATTTATGTATTTTATTTTAAAAATTATCACATTAAAATATATTTAAAAAATATTTTATTTTCATTTTAATCAGTATATTTTAACTAACTATTATAAAAAGGTTACATTATTTTTGGTTTTTTTTTTAGAATTTTCAAAAAACCAAAAATCTTATTTTTATCATCTTTGTGAATCAGACTCAATAATAGAAACTTGTTAAACAAGCCAATTAATTTAAAAGTAATATTTTTTACCTAATCAGAAGAAACTTACAAATTTAACCAAAATTTGACAAGATTCTGGAGTGGTTATTGGATAGGTTAACAACAATGACAACAAAATAATTCAGAACATCTGGTATCTTCCTTAACCAAACCTTCAACCTTGATTCGATTAGATTTATGGATTGGTTTCATTGCTTATTAAGATACACATACTCAAAACCAAACTAAATTAATGGTTTAATTCATTTTTTATTAGTTTGCTTCAATTTTTTGAACACTCATAATATTTAGACAGCTAAGAACATTGGTATTGTGAATTATGACAGTGGAAAATAGCAAAAGTCATAAACACCATATACACGCACACACACCTGAAGAAAGGAATGAAGGTATCCTTCCCTCTCAAATAAAGAAGAATGGAAATTTTTCTGTAAATCCCCCCATAAATCATCATCCTCTGCGACTGCATGATAAGGTATGACAACTTTGCAGCATACATTACCTTTAGTTGTGTCATCTTGCAGCCACAGAGAAAAAAGGAGCTGGGACAAAATTGTATTTTAGGAGCTCAAAACCTTATTTTTATTTACCAGAACTATTGCAATTATTCAATTTAAAGAATTTTATAACCAGTACTTTTAACGTTTATCTGAAAGTACACAATAAAAATCTATACACAGTAAATTTGTATTAAAAATAATAAGATATCATAAAATTTAATACATTAATTCAAATTGGCACACGTTAAAAAATAGTTTAATAATTTTAAAAAAATAGCTATTCCCAGAGAAAATAACACAATAATTAAACCTCTCAATACAATAATCAAATTATTTATTATAGTAGTCAAATAAACTGCAAACTACCAAACATAGTGATTAATTTAACTTGCTTTGTGATGTGAAGTGGCTGCATAAACAAAAACTGCATCACATGGGGATGTGTTGGCATGACAGAGCCAATCCCAAATAAATGGTCCCCACCTATTATTTTTTTGTTGTGAAGCTTAAATGCCGCATAAGCCAACTTGGTCTTTCTGCTTTCATCTATCTCTTATGTATTATTTCTCTTCATCAAATATCTTTGGGAAATTCATTCCTGTATTAAATAACACTTTAGGTTTTTGGACAGTAAACTCATTATGGCTAAACAATACTAAAATGACGTCTTAAAGCACATGGTGTCATATCTCACATGGCTTATCTAGAAAGCTCAGCTTCAGCATTCTTTATTGTCAAATTTTTGGCCTGTGTACAACATGCAATTAACTACAACAGAATTGAATGATAAGAGATGCACAAGACCCCATATAAATTCACAACACATCAAGGGGTGACAAAGTTGGAAAAGTGGAAACGCATGGAGCCAATTGATAACTCTTGTGAATCCTCCTTTTGTCGAGATGAAAGGATAGAAGCTTTGGATCTTTTAGAGGAGTGTTGGTTCTTTGATAACATGTTAAATGTAAGACCAAGGATGCCAAGGTGTCACTCTGATCCTTGCCCTTCCACTGGCCTAATCAGCTCCCAAGATTTCTTGGGAAAGGACTCTGATGTATCCACCAATTCATCAACAAGTAAGCCATCTATTAGTGCTTTTGTTCATCCTAAGAAGATCCAGAGAGCACCATCCATGCCACCATTTAGATCGAGAGAAGATGACCAAAAAGGAAGCAGTTCTACTAGAAGCAAATTGGTGCACCAACCATCAGATCCTACTAAACCTCATTGTGCACAGATGAAAGGGCATCATAAAAGTGATTGTAATAGAAGGAAAAGCAAACTTCTAAGAACACCGTCTTTGCCTCCATCAATAGGGAGAGAGGAAAAGTTCCAAGTAACTGACACTAGAACTGGCAGATCCCACAAGCAACCATCAACACCTAGCCATATTGACATTCTTCCTCCCAGGCAAACCTCTAAGGTACTTTAATCATCTGCTTTTATAATAGAGACATTTTTCATTTATACTTTAGATGCATAATATTCTGTCTCTTCTAAGACTTTATGGTTGATTTAATGTGGCCAGCACCCTGAATAGCACCAATTACAGTGTGGACAAAAAGCCCAAAAAGCCAAAAACTTTTGGCATAAGTAAAAAATCATATCATGACTAAAGGACAAGAAGCATATATAGCTTGCAGCTACAATGCTAAGAATAGTCAAATAGTCCTTTAGAAAGTTAGTTTAAACTATATGCATACTTCCATATTCAGATTGCTTTGAATGTTGAGTTAACTCCTTATATTATCACAGAGTTGTAGCATTCCAAGATATCGACCAGCTAGAACTACTGAGGTTGTTGAAAGCTTCAACCCAGAGGGTATTATGGAAATGAGGCGCAGTTACCTTAATCAGAAAACAATGAGGAGAAGCCTAAGTGACCTTGAACTAGAAGAGGTTCAGGGGTTCAAGGATTTGGGTTTCTCATTTGAAAAAGAAACCTTAAGCCCCAGTTTACCTAACATAATTCCTGGTTTGCAAGAGAAGAATAGAGATGAGACAGAAGAAGATAAGGCAGCAAGGAGACCCTACTTATCTGAGGCATGGCTGGTGCAAAGTTGTGCTCCTCCAATTCCAAATTGGGCTTCTAATAAGTCTTCAGATGACATGAAAGAACAAATCAAGTTTTGGGCTAGAGCTGTAGCATCAAACATACACCAGGAATGCTGAAAAGAAGTCATTGACCTAAAATGTGGAACACAAGGATCATAATCATACTTCACTGATCAATTCTTTTTTGTAACGATTACCTAATAACAGATAAAATAATAATAATCATATAGTAATTCTTGGTATTTCTTTTGCAATAAGTCAATTAATTCTAATGCATACTCTCTGTTAGGAGACTAACTAATTACAGGAACATTAAATATTATTTATAGAATTAGCTACAATTACCAACACATTTTTTAAGCACTGTAATCAATCAACTTATTGGGAAGTTCAACTTTTATACTTGTGGTTTGACCCATGAGTTGGAACTTCATAATTTAATGATTTCCCTTTACTTTCTCCCACTATAAAGTATATGTATTAAACAAATTCTGGAGTACATGAGGAGGCTTGGCTTAGCATTATTCTGGAAATTCATTTTTCAACCTCACTGTAATATTCCATTGACAAGTTTAAAGTTTTGACTTCGAAGTTTATAGATTAAACAAGTTCTTGAGTACATGGAGAGACCATTATCTTTGGGAATAACTTTCAGCTGAATGTGACGATACAGATTATATGGCTCAATATGTTGAAGCATACGCGATTTAACTTTTTGTATGCTATACTTCTACGAATTACAAACATGATCCCATAAAGAAAAATAAGCAAAATCCCTTAAAATTTCACAAGGACCATTTACTTTCTACATTTGTATGTCTTCACATTTCTGCCATTGGAAAAAATTTACATATGATGATTTATTTTCTTATCTCTACGTGTACTTTATCTAAATTTTGAAGAGTTAATACACAAATTAGTGCAGGATTGGTTGAACAGTCACGAAAGTAAAGCCAAGTTTTATTGCAGTGAAAAGTTTTCACTTCGATCAATTCATCTTGTAATAAATAATTTGTGCAAAAATAATCTCAAATGTTTGATAAAATTTTAAGTGCATGTTTGTTTTGATTGTAGTTGTTCCTTTTGTGTGTTCTAAAAGCAGAATTAAGCCGATCCAAATACATGTTTGGAAAGTGTGTCTCATTAAATCATCATGTAAAGAAAGAGGTGAAATAGGCCCTTAAGGCTTAATCTCTAACAGTATACCTCTATATAAATTACTTTTGAAAATCTTCACTTACTAAGTTGGTTTTTGTACTCATTATTAACTTACACATAATTTCATCTTCCAAAATATTAATACGTTCTTAAAATATTAGTCGAATAATTAATAAATATTATATTATTAAAAATGAAAAATGTTAACCTCATCTCTTAACTAATAATAATAAAAATTTATTAAAAAGCATTTATTGTGAATTCTATAATCGTAATATATATATGTGTATATATATATATAATATGATAGTATTAGCTTTAAAGACTTAAAGTTTAATACATACAATTAAAAATTACATAAGCAATAATTTTACATTTTTAATAAAAATTTAATACTATAATGATGTCTAAATATATTGGTTAACATTTTCTAATGTTAATTTGTATCAATGAATATTTTGAAAGACCAAAACAATGCAAGTTAATATTAATTTGAGTATGCAGGATGTTGGTTTATTTTTATAATAATAAAAAAAAACATGAAAAAGCATAAATATATGTTTTAAGGATATGATATTTTGGAAAGTCCATGCACAAGATATTTAAAGAGAACATATGCATTGCACATGTAGCTGAGTAGCATCATCAACAACATTATCATCCCATACCCGAAGGTGGGAACAGAACAGTACACCAATCAGTGCCAAATGTTGCACTCTCAGTGCCACCATCACCTTCTCTTACCATTTTCACACCATAAACCCTTTCTCTCAATTCCTCCATCATCACACCCTCTTCTTTCTTTTCACCACAAACCCACCTTTCACCACTCTGTTTCTGTTTCAGCCATTCCTCTATGGCTCGCAGAACTCACCACTGCAACAGAAACAGAGGGCCCCATCGAACTCCCACTTTCTTCTACTCCTTCCATTTTTGCCACCACCGATGAGCCTTCTCCCATTCAAATTGCTTCCAGTGTTCTTCTCACTGGTGCTATCTCTGTCTTCCTCTTTCGCTCCCTTCGCCGCAGGGCTAAACGCGCCAAAGAATTGGTAAACAAACACTCTTTTCCATCTTCTTCTATATACAATTTCTCTTACTTTCTATGTTTTTTTAAGGTTGTTTCGTTACATATAATTGCCACAATTCAGTTTCGATTTGACTTAGGATAGTGCGCCATGCAATGTTTCTATTTATTTAGAAGGGGGGGAAAATCTAAAGGTTATTTGGTTAGATATAATTGTCACAATTATTGTTTTGCTACACTTGGATTTCGATTTGTCTTTGGGACAATGTGCATAGTTACCCTTATCTTTTTTTTATGAATGTGCTTTGGTGATAAATGAGTTCAAAGAATGAATTTTTAGTTTAAAAAATTGAGTTTGGATTTATTGGTTTTTTTTCCTTTTTGTTATGCCAGTGATGTGATTGATATTTGCTGTTATGGTGCAATCTGTGTTCATTATTGAAATGGGTTTTGTGGTTTTAGCAACTCAGGTCTTCAGGAGAGAAGAAATCAGTACAGGAAGAAGCATTGGATAGCTTGAAAGCTATCGGGTCAGCTTCAATAGATGCTAAGGGTCCACCTTCAGCTGGTGAAGCATTGTTTGGGGGTATATCTGCGGGAATTATTGCTCTTATTCTCTATAAATTTGCCACTACCATAGAGGCATCTCTAAACCAGCAAACACTCTCAGATAACTACTCTGTATGTCTTGTTTCGTGTTCATTTATTTGTGTTCCTACTTTTTGTTGCACAGCATGTTAGTTGGAATTAGATAAGGCTGTTTTCTTTTACAATTTGAGCCAAATTAAAAGGTCAGATGGCTAGGAATTGGAATGTTATTACTTACTCTTCTTAACTGTAATGATGGTAAAATTATAATGGAAGTGTTTCATCTCTTGATGTTTTTCTTGGTTGATAAGATTGATTATTCTGAACAATCTCTCTTTGGCTGGCCTATCATTTCTTGTTGTATTTACAAGGAAATTGTGACTCCAAACACTTGTTGCAAAAAGATGGAAAAGTAAACATTTCAGTTGAAGAAATAAAGAGCAGCTTAACATGAATCCAACTATTCAAGGAATATGCATGTACTTTGATTGTTGTCTTGTCCTTCAGGGCAGAAGTTTTCAAATGTAAGGTTTTGTTACCTTCACCAATCTAGTATTTTAATTGTTGCTGATTGGTGTGGTGACACAGTTTGATTGAAGTTTTCAATAGTGTTCATACTTACGGGGCTATATAATGTTGATTTATGTTCAAGGTTACTCTGTATCATTTGTCAGCCTATTGAATATATAATTGCAATGATCAGAATATTCAATTGTAATAAAGTTTAACCAAAGGAGATTGATGAGGCAATCTATTCCTGGATGGAACTAGAGAATGTGCTTATCATGTATGAGTCTTGGGACTGGATAATTCTGTGTTTCCCGTCCAACACGTTTAGGAGAAAAGCCTGATAGTGAAATGCAAACTTTTAATTCAGTTGTGTTTCTATTTTCATAAATGCACTAGTAAGCAAAGTAAGATAGTAAATGAGATATAATGTCTAAAGCTAAGATTTTATTCTTTCATCAAAATGCATTCCTGGACTTTGGATATTTCAATCTTTAATGTACTCACTGGAGTACACAGCAGGAAAGCTGTTAAAAATAAAATTTTACAATTGCGTGATTCATGAAGTGAAATTATTATCTTTTACAGGTGTGCCTATTGTTATAGTCATCATAAGTCAGTCATATCATTTGGCACTCATCTGTGTGCACTAACTTGTGCATTTAGAGCACAGGATTAATTTATGCTGCTACATCCTATAATTGTGGTTATGGATTGTATTAACTACCCAGCAGCAATTCTGTTTTATTCTGACAAAGGAGAAATACTGCAATATTTCTGAGTACACAATAAGCATAATCTTTTACCTTGTGTAATAAATTGCTTTTGTCACAATGAATTGATACAAAAGCATCTTGTTGAATTAGTAGAGGAAATGATAGGAAATGATCTTCAAGGTCTTAATGCTTTGTATATGTCTGCTTTTCAGGTCCGCCAGATAACAATCACGATAAGGTAGCTTCAATCTCTTTTCTTTTCTTGGGCCTTGTTCTTTTTACAAAGCACCTGACAATCATATGACATTTTTTTCTTAGGACTATAGTGAATGGCTTGGCCTACCTTGTGACATTTGTCTTTGGCTTAAATTCCCTTGGTTTACTCCTTTATTCTGGCCAGCTTGCCATCAAATCCATTATGGGAGATTCAACTGAAAAGGAAACTGAAAGCAAAAGCAGTGATCAGTCAAATTTAACAAATTCTATTGACAGTCCCACAGATAACACTGAATTGAGCAACCGGAAGGAAGAACAAATTTCAAATGATGCACAATAGACATGGTTACTAGGTGTAATTACAGTGAAGTTAAAATTAAGATCAGTAAATCTTGTCCACTTGTAAAAGGGATATATAATCCTTGATATCCTTTCACTTTTGGAGTAATGTAGGTGACAAATGATCTTTAATGCAGTTACTAGTCTTGATATTGAATTTTTTGAAAGGTTTATAGAAGCTCCATCTTCTCTCCTTTACCCTTTCCAATTGCCAAAATTTTGCAGTCTTGTTTGATTGGAGGGAGATGAGAACTTGAGATGACTCAATCCATTGAATGTAACATAAAGAACAAGTTATTGATTTTCATTTGCTGCATTCACACTTAAGTGGTCTTCCCCAAAAAACTTGTGCTTTATTATCATTGCTTATTTGACTCAAAAGTTGCATATATTGTATAATATCTTAACTAAACTAAGAACGTCCCACGCTGGACTCTTGCCTTGAACCTGCAGTAAATGGCCACTAGGACCAGCTTGTAGTGAACTCAGAAGACCAGCTTTATGCACACCAAGTCAGAGATGCCTATGCGTTCGAGATATTCATAATTGTGCACAATCATACAATACATGACTTAAGAGTTCGAATGATAGTACTTGGTGTAGTTCACCCTAAGGTAAAATCAAATTCAACTGGAGACAAGTAGTTAAAATTGTGTAAATGTGCTTCTATAACCTAATAGGACTCAGATTATTCATATCAAGGTAAATCATCCGTACAAAAATTGGACACAGCCATGCAATAATTAGGGTTAGGCCAGTTCTCTGATCTGACAACACAGTTTGCATGTTAGTAGCCCAACCCACATCAGTCTTATTGAAAATATTTTAATCATATGTTTTCGTGATCAATTTTATTTGGATTGGTGAAGCAATTGTAAAGAAACAAAATAATAATAATAATTTTTTTTTACTTTCTATTCATACAAATTCTCTTAATTGCTAAATAAAAATAAATATTTTTTTTTATATATTTTAAGATAATGAATACATACACTTTTTTATTTAATACTTACTTTATAAAGTAGAAGGAGAATCAATACAAAAAAAATATAAGAATATAGCAAAAGTCAAAAAAAAAAAACTAACAAACTCTCTCTTCGAATGGGAGTATCAAACAGTACAAAAAGAGTTGACATTAATTATTCAATATTATATGAATGATCGAAATTATATTTAAGTAAAGATCATATTAATCATTCATATAAAATTAAATAGTTAAGATTAACTCCTCTCATCTCTTATATTCTTATTTAATATGATCTTACGCTGGAGCATGCAAGCATACACACACGTGGAGAGAGAGAGAGAGAAGTATCGAGTTTCTATTTTTTTTCTTTTTTTTTTTAACAGAAACAAATCTTGACTATTAAAAATATATAACTAGTTAAAATTAAAATATGAAAATCATAATTTTCAAAAGTAATCACATGACTAAAATAATTTTTAACTTATAATTATAGGTTTATTGTTTCTTCCTTTTACTCTAAACAAAAAAATCTCTTCACATATATATTGCAAAGGCGGCAAACATTTCCTTGGTTGGCTTTGGTGAGGCTTCCCTTCATTATTGGTTCTGCAATCCATGTGCCACCTATCAATTTTGTGGGTGCCAGAATGTCTTTCCCTTATTCCCTACACCATTTCCAATCTGTTCAAAAAGTTTGCAGCAAAAACACTTTATCTTACCAGCTTCCACGGTGTTTTTCTCTGTTGGTCCTTTTTTAAGTCAAGATTCCTAATCACTCCTACCTTTTTTCCACATAATAAAGCACCAAAGATTATGAAACTGCTTAATCAACAAGCAAATATCTTTGTCAAAGTATCAACCGTGGTTTCCCACCTCATATCCCATTTTCACAATTAAAGATTCAATAATGCTTCATAACACTTCTCATTCATATTAACACATAAAAGATATTAAATTTTACACAAAAAAAGGAAGGTTGCAACATAAAAAGGTAGATAGATAGTTGCTTTTGGTGCTGTGAAGTTGAATAATTTAGTTAAGTTAGCACGTGCAAATGTACATAAAAACAAAATTGAAGAGAAAAAGATAAAAGGGCATGCATTTAAATCTGAAAGAGATGTTATTTCAAATAGAATACACCATCTCTCAAACATCAAACATAGTGAGGTCAAGGAGAAAATGCCTCAAAGACTAGGAGTCCCAGAATTAAATGAATAAGCATGATTTGTTTTCTTTGCTTTTCTTTCTTGTCTTTGGCTTTGTCTTTACCAATGTACAAAGAAAGAGAAAAAGGTTCATTAAGATAATCATTATATAGTTTTGCTACCTTGGAAATTGATTATGCTGCGGAGCTTACTATTGAGAACAGGAAATTCTGCAAATCTATGGCAATGGAAACCGAAACAAGTTCTAAAGAAAGACAAAATGCTAACTTTACAGCTTACCCTTGGTGTGGTTGCTTTCAAGGTCAAGCTGTGCCGCTAATTCATCTCAAAGTCTTAGAAGATTTTGTAGCACAGACATAACTAAACACGTAACATACTTTATGAACCAATTGCTTGCTTGCTTTGTTTAAGATTAAAAAGACCGTTATACTATTTTATAATCTCAATAATGTCTAATTTTAGCCTATAATAATAATAATAATAATAATAATAATAGATTAGCTTCGCTGCTCTCTTAAGTCTTAACAATTATGTTGTGAAAATTTCAGCATAATTAATTAGTAATAACTATATTCGACAAACTTGTATGTTTTCCATTTTGGTTCGTAATTTCTTTCTAACAGTACAAACAAATCCTAGTGCCCTACCATTGTTTAGACTATTTTCCAACTTCCAACCAGCATTTCAATTCCATTATACATAACACTCTTCCAAGTTCTCACTAATTTATAACGGCTCATGAAGACTTGATAATGACAACAATAGAAGCTTAAGCACAAAGCAGTTGTTTAGAAAGAAGAACAAGCATTGACCACAACAATTCCAACCTAAATATGGGAACAGACAACCAGACACAACAACCTTAATCAAATGCCCCACCAACTTTAATTTCTTACCCTTCAAAGCAACACACATGGTTGAAGCCTCCAACCACTACGAATTTAACCCAAATGACAAGTAGGGACTTCCATTATCTTGTCCATTGATTCCAACTATGAAATACTATAATGATAAGGAGTAATGGGGCCAAAAACAAATAGCATCACTAAAAATATTTATACAAAGGATTACATTCTAAAAACAGCAAAATCACTATATAATCAATCCCTAACTTACCAAAGCTGACAAAGGTTTAGCAATAATCTACACATAATAACAACAATTAATTATTCTGTCAATTAAAAAAAAGGAAATTTTGAGATTTTTAAAAAGGAAAACAAAAATTAAAATCCAACACCAGCAGGCGCGCCGACTCCGAGCTGAGCCGGAGGAGGGTGCGGCTCCAGCTTCCTGTTGTTCCAAAAACAAGCCTCGGGAGCCAGCTTAGCCGAAGACCTCATCGGCTCCGACTTGCAGCGCGTGAGAACAAACGGCTCGTACCCATTACTCGATTTTGACCCAACCAGCTTCTGCTCAATCATCGTCGCCATGGACATGCCGGCGACGCCCCCCGCAGCCGGAAAAGAACATGAAGACCTCGGCGGCTGCATCAGCGGCTGGGGAGGCGGCGCCGACGGCTTCAGCTTCGGTTTGTTGGAGGAGTCGACGCCCACCCTTTTCCCACCGCCGGCAATTTTCCCGGCGGGTCTTTCCGGAAGCCACCGTATGAAGTCGGTGCTACAAACCCATGTTTCCTTGGACACTTCCATTGAGAGTTTGGGCTCACACATCATCAGCAACAAGCACTCTGGTAATGTTTCTCTGTCTCTCTCTCCTTTCTTTGACCCGTTTTCTCGCTCCTTTGACTCCGGATCCGTATTCGGGTCACGGGTCGATTCTGCTTGTTCCCTCTCTGTAGTCCCTTTCTCTTCTTCCTCCTCCGTTGACCCTTCTGCTGAAGCTTCAGCTTCAGCCATCACTGCTTCCTCTTCTGCTTCAGCCATTGCTTTTGCTTCGTCGCTTTCATGTTCTGAAGCTGTGAACGTTTCAGGGGAGGAAGAAAGTGGTGAGCTTTCGTCGTTTTCTATCTCCTTTTGCTCTTCACCATCGTGGAGCTGAACCGCTTCTTCTCGAGTTTCTGGTTTCTCGTGATCTGAATGAGTCACACGTGAAAAGGTTTCCCCTTTGTCCATGGCATTTCCATTTTCTTCCTCATCTTTTGCTTCAACAAAATCTTCGCTTTCTGGATTTGTTTTGCTTTCATCTTCGTAGTTTTCGTTCGGCTCCTCTTTAGTTTCTTCTTTTTGTAAGAATGTGATTACACACTCTTCTTCGGTGGCCTCAGAGCTGGTTTCTATTGATTGTCCTTCACAAATGCCACCATCTTTGATTTCTATACCAACTTCTCTTTCTTCTCCCTCTTGTTCTTCATCTTTTTTCATTTCAATATATTGATCTTTGTCACCACTTCTTTCTTCTTCCTCTTTCTCACCCTCCTCTTCCTCTTTCTCTTCCTCCTCCTCCTCTTGTGCACTATCTTCTTCATCCTGTTCTTCTTCTTCATATTTGTCTTTGTGAACAGGTGATTCCCAAAAACGATTAGCCAAAGCTGCCATTTTAACAGGATCAGATCTACACCTCATCAACAAAAGAGCATTTTTGGGAGGAATACATATGCTAACTCTTGCTTTCTCTTCTTCTTCTCCTCCTACCAACTCATCATTCTTCTTCCCTTCCACCAAATCAATATCAATGTCTTCAAACACGTGCCTTCTCTGGCTGCAACTTCTCTCACCTTTCCCTCTTCCATCACCATCATTCTCTTGCTCCTCCTCCACCACCAACTCAATCCCTCTTCCCTTCCCCTCCCCTTCTTGCAAAGCCACCACCCATCTTGCAAATGCAGCTCCACATGAACCCTCTCTATCATCTACTCCACCAGATCCTCTTTCAACAGAACCTCCACCACCCTTCTCCTCTTTCTCTCTCTCACTTGACGTGCAAGAAGACCTACAAGGAAAGAAGCAGCTGAACTCCCTCAAGGCCTCACAAATTGTCAAGGGAAGATGCACCCATCTTTGATTCCTATGCTTCAAGCACTCTTGTTGAAGATTCTGGTGATTCTGATACTGAAAGCTTTGGCTGTTTTGTCTAGTGAGATCTGGATTTGCAGCACCAACTTGGAAACCTTGTTCTGTCTTCCTGAAGCTAGCTTCACCTCTTCTCTTTGACCTTACCCTCATCTTCTTCCCTTGTTTCTTAGTCTTCACCCTCACTTGTCCAATACATGTTACTTTAGGGGATGAAGGTTCAGGATTCTCAAAGCCACACCCTCTTCTCTTGCCACCAGTTGGAAACATTGGAGAAGCTTGTCCTCCTTTCATGCTACCGTTGCTCTTGAGCCTTCTGCTAAGGGAAGTAGAAAGAGAAATCTGAGGAGGGTCTCTAGTGCGGCTTGGGCTGAGAATGGACTTGGAAGAGAGCTTCATGGATGAAGAAGACAAACGTGAAGTGAAACACACAAAGAGCTCACTTGTGCTGCTATTGCTACTTGTTGTACGATGGGGTCTCTCTGCTGTGTCCATTGTTTTGTTTTTCTCTTTGTTTCAAGATAACAACACTTGCCAAGACATGGCTATTGAGTCATACAGCAGGTTTATTTTGGGATGGTAAATGAAAGTGTTTGATAAATGAAAAGAGCTTAGCTTTGCTTGGTTGTGATGGAGGGGGTGGGGGTGGGGGTGGCCTACGAAGAGCTATTTGATTGCAAGGTAAGAAGTACTATATGTGAGTGAGTGAGAGAAAGATAACGAGAGAGAGGAAAGGGTTTAATGGATGCTGACGAAATGCTGTTTGTCTTTAGCAACATGTAACTCAGGGGCTGTAAGGTAGGGTAGGGCTCTTGTTATGCCAATTGTGTGTTTTTTTTTTATGTGACAATTATGCCCTTCTTTTGATGTGGAAAATCTTGGGGATGTTCTTTTTTACTGTTTTTAGTTTAAATTTAAAATATTATAAGTTTACATTTATTTAAATGTCATTAATTGTAATTTATATATTAAATTTACGTTTATAAATTTATAAACGTGTTTCTGAATACATGTTTTGTTGGAGAATTGAGATGGAGTGGAATGTACCATGTATTTTGATCAAATGGAATATAGGGGGTTGAATCTTGAATGACACTTGTTTTATTGGTTAAGTGCTCTAGTCTCAATGTTCATCTCCATGTTAAGCAGAAAAAGGATAAAATCCCCTGCGTGCACGAGCCTTTTGGCAGATCAACAACTTCGGTAATGACAGAAAGTAGTGGGAAAAGAATAGAAAAGGTAAGGTGGTGGATGAAAAAAGAAATTTGAGTGTGCAGGAGAGGAACCACTATCAGAAAAACTATCATTTTGGGTGCATATCATCCATAGCATATATCATATATGAAATATTTCAGCAAATTCAATATTTTTTAAAATAACTACTGGTCAAATTTCTAAAATTATTTCTGGATATAACTTTTTTTGGGATCTAAATATAGATAGGTTTTATCTTACTAGAAAACCATAGTTTCTGGTCAACAAAACCCTGCCAAATAAACAACAGTACAAAATCTTATCCAACTGCTAACAACCAGAACAACTAAAATTTTGTTTAACTTGGATAATTAATTCTCATATTTTCAATAAAAAAATATATACATCTTGACATAAATATATATTTTATACTAATTCAAACTTAATTTTACCAAACTTAAACTAATCAGACACTAATAAAGCTTAGAGAACAGAACCCACTCAACGGCTGCTTAAGAACAAAAGAAAAGCCTACCCAACGGACTATATTTGTCAAAATCAGCGGCATTCTCACCCGTGTCGAAGGAATTCTCTCAAATCCAATTTGACAAAAATTTCTTGTTAGCAGTATTCTTAACACGTAATTAATGCCTACAAACTAGAAAGGTGATGTAAGACAAAATATTGAATATTCTTTTTTGGTAACGTTGAATATCAAACAATTGAACACCAAGTGTTAAAACATACAATCTAATTTCATATATGTTGAGTTTGGTTATTCTAAAGTTATAAAATTAACTTAATTTTAAATAAACTAGCACTTGCTCGATTTTCTTAATTCATCCATCACCATTTTCCATTTTTATAATACTAATGTAATGTGTAGAATGGACTTAGATTCTAGTTCTAGAGAATCATATGTAGTGGCATCATGGGAAATGGTTGGAACCAAGGAGAACACCAAAATCAATATATATACGAGTATGTGATTGAATTTGAGATGTAATCCTATAAAGTTAGATTCTAATAGGTGGCAGGTAGTAAAATAGTGTGAGTGAGAATAGTAAGTGAAGGAACGTGGCCAGATCATAGGAGGATGCAGAAGCTGAGGGACAAAGCATTGGTCTTGGGAATATCAAATTCATGCCACTTTCACAAAATTCATGTGTCCATCCGTGTACTGAGAAATGCAGTATTGTGTTGTAAATGTAAATGTAAATATTAATAATAATCAACAATATATTATATATGTACTGTGTACTACAGTCTCTGTCTGTAACTTGTGAATGCTTTTTCGGCCCTCCCACCTCTCAGTTCCCAGTTTTGACAGTCACTTATCACAACACGCTATTATTATTCCTTGTTCTCTTCTAAAACTTTTCACTGCAGATTTATTTAATAACATTACGCAAAACTATATGTAATAGTATTGTCCACAATAAGCCAAGTTTAGCTATTACTTATACAATTTCGGCCGAAAAAAGGTAAAATTTATATGAAATGGTGGTGTGAATAAAAAGAATGGTAAAAATAAAAAGGGAATTAAAATAAGGAAAAGGGCATATAGGAAATGAAAAGGGAAAAGAAGGGTGATTGGGAAAGATGTCACATGGGAAGTAAGAAGAGGATAGGGACGAGGTGAAAAAAACAATGAGAAGGTGCACCGCACGTGACCACTCGCTTCAAAAGCTTTGCAATTTCATGCCTCCAGTCATAGTCGTTGCTCCCCAATCATACTTAAACACTGCTTTTCTTAAACCTCACGCGCCTTACTATATTTTATAGTACATTATTTATGGACATGATAGGTTTTCATTTTTGGTCCATAAAAATGATTTTCAAGAATTAATGTGAAAGTTCCATTATTATTAAAGACAGATGGTGAGAGAAGAAAAATACGTAAAGTAAACGAATCATTCAATTGTTTTCGAGTTTTGTATTGCTCTTTGAATCTTGAACAGCAGCATGTGCCAAATTACCAATAAGAATAGAAAATCAGTGATTAGCACCATCAAAAGGATTAGCTACGGATCTTCAAATGTTTGCATTGAAGACATTAGGAATTTCATTACCAATGAGTTGGTATCTATTAGTTTAAACAAAGGCATGGCTGATGGTGGTGGTGTCATGCACAGCAAATATCGTGAATGTTCCCAGTCAAAATGTATCCTTCCTGGTCTTCACGATGGATCATGCTATAACATGATGATTTTCTGCTTGACATTGCAACTTTTGTGATCGGATTGTGTATACGTTTAATTGTTTCTAATGTTCTACGTTATCAAACTATAAAAATAGCTAACTTTATAAACATGAACAAAAAGTTCTACATTAATGACGTCAAAGATGAGTATTTTTTTTAGATAAGAAGTAATAAAATATTTCTAAATTTACAGGACTTAAAACTAATTATCATTTGCCAAGACCAGTAATTTAAATCCAAATTTTATGGTGTGTATTAGAGTGCAGCATCATTAAAAACTATGCAAGCCTATTTTGACACTAGCTTCAAAGCCTTAATGCATACTAATCACCCGTAAAACAAGACTTTTTTGAAAAACAAAATTAGGACAAATCTAAAAAATCATGTAAGTCTTAGCCTATGTGTTGCTCGTACTAATGCATAATTATAAATCACTATCACATAATAATGTTACATCAATAATACTTACACATTTAATAAACTTAATTTCTATGAATTTACTAGTTTTATATATATATATATATATATATATATCGATTATTTTTATAAAAATAACTAAATATCATAAAATTATAGAATATTTAAAAAATGGTCATAATAATAAATTGTGAAATTAGTAATTCATATATTAAATAAATAAATTTACTCACTTTTGTAGGTAATGAAAAAATATTTTTATTGATATAAATCTCACAATAAATAAATTATAAACTAATTTTTTTATATTTAAAATAAAATAAAATAATAATAATTTTGTATAAGTAAGATTAAAAAGTACATTATTAAAATAAATACATTTTTCATAATTAATATAATTCAAAATGTTTAACTATTTATTAATTATATTGGTGTTATAAATATACACAATTATATTATTAAATTATCTGGCTGCGTGTATTTGTATTTTTAAAAAAATCTATAAATATATAACTTTTATAAAATATTTTGGTATAGGCCGGGTCGTGGCCCACCCTTTCCACCCTTGAATTTGTCCCTATGGTTACAGATTTAATCAAAAGTTTAGTAAAATTGTAGAAATTTATGGATTTATTTAATATTTTAAAAATGATATTATATGCTCATAATATTTTTATAAAATTTCTTATAAAAGTATTTAATAAAAATAAATATATTCAGTATTTAAGAAACAAAAATAATATTTTTATTGAATAAGTAAGAAAACTAATAAAAAATTATAGCAAAATACAGATTTATAATTTTAAAAATATTCATCCTTGATCATGTTTTGAGGGCAATAAATAAATATGGACCTAGCAAATTAAAAGGAAAAAGTAGGGGAAAAAAACTGAGAACTGGGGAGAGAAAGGAGGTAGTAACGCATGAGAAGAGTGGGAGCACGCGCATTAAAAGGAGAGTAGATGTAGGATACTGAAACATGCATAGGGACCCATTTGTGAAGAGCTGTGCCGTTTACTATGCTTCCCATGGATATCATAGTAATCTGTGCACATGTGACGCGTGGCTGATAAATGGATTGGCTTTGCAAAAATGTTATTAAGTAATTTATTTAATATTTTTTGAATGATTAAAAAATATTAAATAAAATACATTTTGATTAACATTTTGATGACATCCATTAACTAAATAAGGTGTAGCATGGTGTCACCTGGCTAATTGAATTATGTTGGTCATTTGCCTGCCACGTAATGCACACAATAAAACAACTTGACCAAAGTTAATAAAAGGGGGAAATAAACACGATTATTTATATATCATCTATTGAATTTTTCTAAAGAATATTACATTAATAATTTTTTCATATATGTGCACGAATGCGTGATATTTTACTTAATAAATAATAAAACTTATTAAAATAATATTTAAAGTTATCAGATTCTATTATTTAAAATATTGTATATGATTTTTTTATTTCGTGTGGTTAAATATGCATTAAAAAATTTATTAAATAAAAATAACAAACACTAACTAGTTTCTTAACCATACTGATTAATAAATAAAAAATAAAATTTTATAAAAAATTATTAATGCCTCTTTTTATAACATTTAAAATTTTTTAACTAAGCAAGACTCAATAAAAATTTAAGTTTATAAATTATATATTATATATTTTTATTATAATTTTTTATCTTTAGAACGTTCGTTAAAAAAATAATAAAAAATAAATGTATTAAAAAAATTACTTTCAATCTGTTAACATTTTTCATTTCTTAATCAACACTCCTATTTTAGTCATTAATTGGATGCGTACTTAAATCCCAGTGTAAATTGCTAAAACACCCTTTAACCATCCCAACTCACATCACATGCAACGAGAGCATTTAATACGAATAGGTTAGTGTGGTCCAGCTCCATGAAAAGCCACTCAGACAAAGAGAGGATCACTCACAACATATCGTATGATTCTAACTCCAGAGTTGAATGATAACCAAATTAATAAGTGGGTCAATGTTACTTAAAAAGAAGGGTTTTGACCATACATTTACACAACTTGACAAAACTGCTACTAAAAACGCAATTATGGAAAGAACTTCTATGAAAAGCCGATTGTGCAATAATATTTTTTAAGGATATATATCATGGAACGCTTTAAGTTTGTCTTGCATTGTGGGCTTTTCCGCTTGAGGCCCGGTTTTGGGGTAAAGCCAATGCCAAAAAGTAGCCTAGGAGGCTTTTGGAGGTACCTTTATATATTTTTAAAAAAGAGGGTAATTATTCAGTTCATTAGCGGAATATAATACAAGAGGTTAGCCCAAAGGGGGGCACCCTAATGCCATGCTAAAAAGTACAAAATAATCAAAGTTGTCTATTACTTCCTACCAGCTGGTTTGGTGACCAATGCTAGGGCTTGTCAAAGCGTCTATACAGCCCATGTTAGATTGCACCCCACAACACCGTAAATAATTGAACAGTTGTGTTCAAGCGAGCATCCATGTTTTAATTTAGGGACTTATTTGTTCACATATATGAATCACCAATGCCACACGTGATCAAGAAAGAACGAAACAACTTTTTCCTAGCAGTTCAAAAAAAATAAAGTATACAGCCAAACGTTGCCTGATAATGTTCCTATAATCTGGCCAAATGACGCCTACCTCTCCGCTATCAAGCACTATAAAAGTTAATACAATTAATAAGCTTTCTGCTAATAATTCACCAATGTTCTCTTTCAATGTCACAATTCAAGAGAACATGGATTGGTTACTGACGGTGAGTGCAACTGACACATGCGAGTTGTAGAGGTATAACGTCATATCAGCCAGCACCTTTCAAAAGTGGACATGACTAAAAATAGGACAGTTGTAAAGCTCAAGCGTCACACAAACCTCTCAACCAATTTACAGATTTTGTGATTGGATATTATGAATCAAAATTTACAAAAGGCTCCTCTCACTATCATTTCATACAGAGAAAACTCAAAAAAAAAAAAAGCACTATCAAATTTCTCAATTAACTCTGGAACAATCCATTGAAAAGAGAACCCAAAAAACATCTACTTTCAGCAATTTCGTGATGAGCTTGAGGACGTCAATCAAGTTCCAGTACTACTTTACCTGGAATGAGCTTTTTGTCTTTTGCTTCATGAGCCTCTTTTACTTGTGTTATGGGAAACGTTTTATCCACAGGTACCTTCATCTTCCCAGCTTCACACAGCTTTCGAATCTCAATTAAACCATCTAAGTCAGCCCTCATGTATGTCCATGAGTATTCTGTATCAAAAGCAAAGAAGGGGACATGGCTTCACATTTTTCTAAACTTTGAGAAGGCATTTGTCAGCAGGGGTTAAAACAAGAAGGGAATAAATACCACCCCTGGTTTATAACTAATGAATATATATACAAAATAATAATTATGATCAACTGGAAATACCATGCCCAGAGTTCATTAGTGAGAAAGATTGAGTGAGCAACTATAAAATCATTGAAAAAAATTTCATTTTCTACAAGATGGGTGGGATGAAAGACAGAATTTGATTTCAGGATATTTTTAGTCATTCTTCATTAGCATAACAAGCTGCAAGGAAACCTTAATATCAATGGCACAAGCCAAAATTGATGAACTCTGGATCCCTATTTCTTGCCAAAAAGTCAAAAAGCAAAATAACAGTTAGGAATTCTGATACCTAGAAATGCACACAGGAAGCTAAAAGTTTTCACAAAGGCTTAACTTGTTATGCTCATATACATCATAACTCATAAGCATCTTACGTTATAAGATACATAGTTTGCCTACTGAACATGTTACGCAAAGTTTTAACATGTCAGTAAACTTCTAAAATCTACTTTTGATTTTGATGTTTTTATTTTTAGTAAAAATAGAAAAACCTTCCATAAAGGTGCCCAATGTCTACTTGTATGATAAAATACTCGGAGGCGATATTTCCATTCAACGGCCATCTCCTTCTTCAAGATCAAGTCACTCAACTAATTGGTATTAGTAGGGTTATGTCTGTCCGGTAACAACTTCAAGATCAAGATTTCTTAGCTGGAAGTTTAATTCTCAGACAATATGCAATTGTACAACACTTAAGGTTATTGCAGCTTGTCGAGGGCAGGCTTTTGCCTTAAAAGGAATAATAAAGAAATTACAGCCCGACTCACTGGCACAATATTCATTTATTTCAAACAGTTGGTTCAGCTCCATATTTTATCAATGCTTTACATTTCTAGTTCAGAACTTTTTTTTCCAAGGTGAGGCAAGGGCAGGAGGAAAATTCCTGTGACACTTTTTTATATTAGACTAGGGCATTACATCAATTAGCACAAAAAATAACTTTAACTCCACCTCAGTCACTGCTTTATTAGCCTACAACGGAGGAGAGGGTAGTGGCATAAAATAATATTAGGCTTAGCAAAAATAATGTCAAAGAGATGATAGAAATCACATAGCAAATAAGTGACATACTTGGAGGCGCCAAAGCAAAAATAACACTTGATAGACTGGAAATTTCTACCTATTCCATGAGAGTATCGGTATAGATTATGTTTTGTCAATAAAACAACTGTAGCTGCTGGAAGCCCAATAGTCAGTCCATATCTGTCAGCCAATGATGCTGCCTCACCCTTCAATGAAATTGAAAAAACAGAAGATTGAAGCACAGATGTTACTTTCTAAGAAAGACATCTAAAAGGTCTTTCGGGCAATCAGCCAAGAGTACATCAGCAAGTATGATAAGGATGAAAAAGGAGATATACTTTCATATCCTACCTGAAGTGTCATGTAGTGTCCACCTCGTTTCAGAAAATTAATGCCCATCCGTTCTGTCTCTGGCACACCAATAGTGTCTAAAACAGCATCAAACTTCCCCTTTATAGCCAATTCAACATCCTGTCAATCAAAATGAAGTTATAAGATGGATCAAGTCTTACACAAGATGCACTAGAGCCAAGAAAGCATAAGCTTAAAGATTAAACCGTCTTTGAATTATTGGTATATTTATTTAGGGGCTGATTGTACTATTCCATTTCCATAAACCTACAAGATATAACATAGCCTTATTAGTTATTACTATTAGTAATATTTTACTCTAGTTTTATATTATCAATCCTAGAGGTATTAAGTTCCCTGTATCTGGGTCTTGGGTTGCATTTAGGCTTGAGGCTTATGTTAATTAGGTTTTATTGTCTCATATTATATCCCGAAGTTTCACCTACGGGTTGATTAGTATTAGAGTGTAATGCTTATGGGATTAGGGTTTGTTTGTATTTCTTGGAGAATAAGTTAAATCAGGATCAGGGCTTAGTTGTAGTTGTTGTTACATATAAATGTAATTGAACAAATAATAAATAAATAAACTTATTATGGTTAAACCCCAATGGCCTCTCCCATGTCCTCATTTAACGCCATTATTATTTTCATTATCTCCCTGCTTACTATAATTTTTATTTTAAAAAAGGAATAATCCATTTTATTCATGAACACACACCGTCAGTTATTTGCCACATTCATCTAAGTCCAGCTATCATATCTTTCAACATCACTTTGTTTTATGTTCCTTTCTAGCATCTTAACTTTCTGTTTCTGACCAACCAGTATGCTAAGTATTTGTTATAATGCCTTTCATGAAATTTTATTTCAAAACAAAAAACTTGAATAGCAACTGTCATAATTGAAATATCTGAACTAATGATGGGAAATATGATACAAAAGAACATTCAACACCACCTCAGCAACGTAATCAACAGCCTGCTCAGCACCAGCTCCTAACATTCTGTCAATGCTTTGACTTCCACAAGTAGTTACAACAGAGCAACCAGCAGCTACTGCAAGCTGAATTGCAGCAACTCCTACTGCTCCTCCTCCTCCCACCACTAATATCCTTTGTCTGTTTGAGATAAGCTAAAGGATATAAGTGAGTGGAACGAGAGTTTTAGAAAGCTGAACATTTAGCGGGTGATAAAAATTTAAATAAAATAAAATAAAAACTCTAAATATATAGATAATGATATATAAGAGCAAAAAATTAATTTTCACTGCTGGAAATCATAATCCCACCAATATAAGCATACCCTTCACTTATTCTAGCTGTACTTTTTAGAGCACGCCAAGCTGTCAGCGCAGCAAAAGGAATGGCACTGGCCTCCTGCAAGATTTTCGAAAAAAGAAAAAAAAAATCCTTCAATGGTCCAAGGGAGCGCGGGAGGGGGTGGGGAGATCATGATCAATTGTTAAATGTAGAAATCAGTAATAATTTTGTAACAAGTAAATTATGAGTGGCAGTAATTTTAATGTATTGGACAAACCCATACAAATATGATTGTTATATCTCTCACTATGGGGAATGAAATTGGTGTACAAGAAAACCATTAAACAATAAGCATAGAAGGAAATCTCAAAAAGACTAGTCAGAATTAGAAGTTAAAATCATTTTCCTTTGATATAAGCAAACCAACCTATAAGAAGTTGCTAATAAAATTCTAATCATAACTCACCTAATTTGTTCAGGGGAACAAAAGGAATAGACAATATGAAATGAGTCTATACAGTAATTCTAAATATTGTATGATCTATAGTATGGTTCATTCCATCTAAGTCGCACTTTTGAAATGCTTATTCTAGAAACAGATCTCAAAATAATGCCGTTATTCCATGTACTGCAACACGGTAAATTAAATCCCGGACTATTGCAGAATCTGTTCGCATATTGACTGCAACACAACTCTGTAGACCATCATATACCCATTTACATATCAACTATTGGCTTCCCTTCTTTAATCAATGAGCATTTCATCCCCCCTGTCTACCCAAACCCAAGTTATGGGCACAGCAACGTACCTTCTACACATATCCATTTATATGGCCGTGACACTGCCTTCTTCCAAAATGGAATTAAATCAATTAATTAAACTTCACATTTCCAAAAACCCTTGAAAAACCCTCTTCCATCAAGACTCATGAATCAATTCCACAGCAATTACCCATGCATTACCAACTTAACCATTATCCCTCTTTTATTTAATTTCATTTGCAAATTCAATATGACATTCTCAAGTCCCAACATTCTGTTCCATTCTAATATACCTCCACTACACACAAAGATCAAACACAACAATAGCTGATAATGAAATTGCAACATACCAGATGAGAAAGTGAAGATGGCTTAAGAGTAACCTCGTCTTCAGAGAGAATTGCATAGTCAGTGTAAGTGCCCCTCACTGCAGTTGGATGCAGTGCCCCAAAAACTTCTTCACCCACACTCACCGATTTCACCGAAGCTCCAACAGCCGCAACCTCGCCGCTAACGTCGCGCCCCAAAATCAGAGGCAAAAGTCGCTCGAAAATGGAACGCCCATATCCAGAACGCATCTGAAACAGTTCCAACAATTTTTCAAAACACATTATGCTACTCCAACAAGAATTTGTTTAAAAAAAACTGACTCTGGTATCTAAGGGGTTGATGGAAACGGCGCGAGCACGAACGAGGACTTGGTGAGGTTTAAGAGGAGGAACTTCCACGTTGTGGTGAAGTTGAAGCATTTCTGGTCCACCGAAAGAGGGAAGAAGCACGGCTCTGCAGGTCGAAACATAGGATTTCAGTTGACAGTAAGCGGAAGCAGAGAACCTGATTCCTCTGAAACCGCGATTGCTCGGAATCCACATCTTCACAATGTTAGGTTCAGTTTCAGTTCAGAGCACTCTGAATTAGGGTTATTGAATTTGACGAGTGTGCAATTGCATGTGGAAGAGAGAGACGGGGAAACGTGTCTGTGTTTTGGTCCGCAGAGTAAAAGAAAGCAGAGTGTTGGTTTCGTTGCGCTGCGTTTAAACGTTTGGTGTTAATGGCGCCGTTGGTCGTTGTTGCCAATACTCCCGTGGAAAAAAATTGGAATCGGTTAAGACTTGAGACATTTCTTTGTTAAAAAATACTCATCTTATTAATATAAATAACATTAAATATTTTAGTTTTAAAATTAAAAAATCATTTTTGATCGTTTAATTAATAATATTTGGCAAACATTTTATCTTTACAACATTCACTACATGCATATGATAATCTTACATTAGTATTTATCTTACAAACCACCCGTGTAACTAACTATTAACTATAGTAACTGTCCCAACTAACTTTCTAACAGATATTGATGTTAAAACGGGAGTGTATGTATTCGGTTATAGCATGAGCCATTTTCTCTTTAGGAGAAAATGATAATCCTTAATACTATGCAATTGATCATAAAATCGAATCATAATTCCATACATTAAAATTTTTACCTGTTAAATAAACTTGAGGATGAAATTACCATTTTATGTATCTAACGCAATGATGTTGTGCAAACCAGGCTTTTGAAAACATGAGACTTCCTTTAAAAAAGACACATTTAGAAAAATTTATAGAGAGCTTTTAAAAGTAGTTTATAACTCTGGTAAACTCTTCTTAACTTATTCTAATAATTTTATGGTCAAATTTATAATATAAGTTTTCGGGTAAAAAAACTTAATAAATACACAATGGCTGGAAGCATCTTAATAGGAAATGATTAATCAGCCACTGACAAAAATTCCTCTAAAATGAGCAAATCGTTATGCATACACTCTTGATTTAATTTTAAATACATCATAATCTTCTACTGACCAAAACTGCGAGCTCTTTCCTACCAATTACACTTGGGATAGAGAGTGCAAAAGAGAACACGTGTATGAGCTACAGTTAAAATATTGATCTTATAATAACTGTAAAAAAAATTTCTCTTTTAAGTTTTAATTGCATTTATAATTCAAACTCAAGAAATACAATAGCCATTGAACTATTGAAGGGCAGCCAATGCTATGATTCAATGATGGTGTGGTTGGCATTTGAAGCATATTCATCATTCTTTTGCTTCTTTTTCTGCTTCCGTTTCTTTTGCTTCTGTTTGAACCGAAATTGATCTTTTATGCTCTTCTCCCACTCTTTTTTACTTCTTTGGTAAAGCAACATAGCAGCACGAGCATCTTCTATCTGAAACAATATGAATGTGTTAAGACTTCAGATTCCATGTTTTACAGATTCAGTTGGGTTGTCAGCAATCTGATACCAATATTATATGCAGGTTCGCAGAGATAAAAATAAAAGAAAAATTAAGAGTTATATTGGTCAAGTGAACTCATAAAAGAAGGGGACCAAAATGGTAGATAGACTAACAGGGCAGTGTTCTCCTGATTGAATCTTAACACCAAGATGTTCCGAAGCAAGATGCCGCAGTGCTCTTTTACCATTTGACCTGCTTAAACCCAAAGGATAGTATATTAGAACGAATTACAGGGGCATTTGGAATATAAAAATTAAAATAAAACAGCTAGAAGAAGTAAAAGAAGAAGCAAAGAGACAGCACTTTAGAAATGGTTGGTACTCGGATGTATCCCGGATATCCTTTTTGGGATGACTTAACAATAAAGCCTGCAAATTGCACAGGTAGAGTCCAATGATTAGTTTTAAACACCAGAGATTGATAAGAAAAATATATGCGCAAATCAAGAGGGAAAAAAAACGAAAACAACCACTCAAATGCAACCTTAAGATCATTGCACAAGGCATGACCAACAAGGGTCCTTCCTTTGATCAACTCTGCCACTTTCGTCTGAGCAGTCCAAAAATCCTTCGCTACAAATTGTATCATCATGTTGAAAGACGTAATTGTTAATCAGCATAGGAATCATAATGCTAATCACAGAAATGGTTAGGAAAAATCCTGATCCTCACAGTAATAAATAATAATAAGCTATTATGCTGCTTTTAATAATTGAGGCATCTTAATAGCTGAACACCTGAACCTTAACTGCTAACATTAGTATAGACACTGCTCCTTTGGAACTGCTTATTGAATTAACCTATAGATCACATATTTGCATCAGATTTAGTTCAAGCAAGTGAACTATTTAATGCTATGACTGGATCATATTCCGCACTCAAAATCCAACCAAACAAGCTAGATCACTCTGCACTACTAGCTAGGGAGTAATACAGGACAGCTCTCAAAAGTTTTGTCCTTACAGCATAATTAGGATCAACTTCAGTCAAAGATGAATAATCAAGAGGCTCTTGAAAAATGTCCAAACTATATCAGTAAAAGTAAGACGACATCCAAAAATTTGAAACTCAAAACAAACATTCTCTCATTCTTCATGATGCCCACAAGAGTTTAATTAATTGTGACTGGTATAAAATTTAACCTTTCAAAGACTATAATGAAAATTAATGTTTCTAAGGCAAAATTGAAAGTTGGCATAATTCATTCTAAATAATAGCTTTTCCACTTGATCATTTGATATCAAACCACCCTTATCTTTTGGAATTTTTATGTTCCAATACTTTCAATTATAATTAAGAATTGACAACAAAAGAATATCAAGAGAACCTTTTCTAAGATCTCGGGGTCTAATGCCACTAATTTTAGTGCGGAAGTCAACAACCCGCTCAATTGGCCGAACAAACTCATCATAAATAACATTTCCCCACTTATTGACCTGCAATCAACTGAATTAATATTAGAAATAAAAGACTTAACAAGGCAATGGGAGATGATGTTAAGATATTAACAATAATTGTAATAATTACTTATGCCAAAGAAATTTGGAGAATAATGTTTAGCCATTTAGTGTTTTGTTTAACTATTCAATGTGAAATTATAATTCTATTATTTACAAGTAGGACGCCTTGAGTCTTAGGTATGATTTTTTAGTGTAGTAGAGTTAGGATTGACTTGGCTTCACATATTTACAGGTTAACATTGTTGGGGCTTTCACTCTTATTTTTTATGTACAAAACTCCAAAAAAAAATGTTCACAGTAAGATTTTTATAATGTTATTAAGCCTGGTTAGGCATATTTGAGGATGTGGTTTTGGAGAAGGCAAGGCAAGGCAAATTTCTTTTATTTTTAAATTAAGAGAATTATATAATATTTATAAATTAAAAAAATTGGACAAATTTATGTTAATTTGTCTCTTTCATTTTCAAAAAATTATCAAATTACATCAAATATATTAGAAATGAAAAATTTGTCCTCCCTACACTACCCTTTTTTTCCAAAATATAACTCCAAGACAAACCCTAAGAGCCTGATGGTGTAGCTCTAGCCATTTGGTACTTTTAATGGGATTCAAAGTCTTGCACTACAGGTGTAGTCCATATGGGGCTCACAGCAACTGAGCAACACCTCATGGTTAAACAACGTACAATCTAAGTAATAATGACTAGAGAATTAGCTACTAGTAAAGGCATTTTAATCTACAAAACCGTCAGCATTATTGGGACTGAAGAAGTTAAATGCAATTCATAACCAATATTTTAGGCAGAAACCCAGAGCTAGTAAAAATAAAATGGATTAGGATGAGGGGGAAAATATGTAAATGATTAGCTAATAACTTCACCAACTAGACAATTTTTTTTAATGATACGAATTCATCAATGTACTAACTTGGTGATTAGAAAAGAAAAAAAAAACAAATTTCTAAATATGCATAGATAATTGCAAGATGAAGAGGAACAAATTAATACCAGTGTTACTCTTCCAAGGGCACTTTTGTTTCCTTGACCAACACCGACCATTTCACAATCCATGGCCACTGCATCTGTCAGACTGCCAAATGGTTAATAAGTTAAAATATAGTGAGCTTCAAAACAGAGTAGAAGTACCATTAAAATATATCAGGCGTAGACAAAATGAACAAATACAATACAAGAAAAAGCAACTTCTACCTCCAACTGAGATTATTAAATCAGTGCAATAGCACTGTAAACTCTTACTCATATATACACAGCTCAAATTCACTAATTTTAGTTAGTAATGGCATGTTAAAAGTGAGAAAAAGGCATGGAAGCAAATAGTGTTAGCATAGATTATAAAACTAGGAATTAACAGCAAACACAGTGTTAAAATCCATTTGCAAATGCAGTCACACACAAATCACAGAGAAACACATGAAAATCACTATAGTCACCTTGAATCGTCATTCACAGGAACAAGAGGATTAATCTTACAATCATTGGATTCATCATCTGCTCTCTCTTTACGTTTCCCTGTAAAAAACAAAACAAAACAAAAACACTTACACATCCAAATCATTGGAATGTGCTTCTCTAGGCTTCACCTCTTACATACAGCAAAGAAAACAAGGCACACCCAAAAGGAAAAATCAAATTTACCCAATATTGATTTTGGGGTGTCTTCATCTGAATTTTTGAAGGTCCTTGAAGCCTTGGAGCCATTCAGCTTCAGCTTCAGCTTCTGCACAAGGACAAACACCAATAAATCGACGTAGAAACATGGGTGTTGTCTCAAACATAAAGAAGAAGAATAGAGGAAGCACTTGTTGGAGTTGAACCCAATTGGGGTTCAGTTGGGTTTGCTTCGGTTTCTTCATGCGGTCGCCGCAAGTGTGTTCTTTCACAATCAGGGTTCCCGTGTTAGAGTTTCTTTTTGCTATTTATCAAACATGAACTAACGAGGTTTTTTTTATTATTTTATTTTTATGGTAAAACAATTATTAAAATTACGGTGTTTGGAGAAATTACGAAAATATAAAAAATGTTTAAAATTACTGTTTTTAATTTAAAAAAATATTTTTATTGGCAATTTTTTTATTTTAAATTTTTTATTATTTAATAAAAATTATTATAGATGGTTTTTTATTGTTTTTATAATTTTTTAGTATTTTTAAAAATTATGATTGACAATTTTTTTATATTTTATAACGTTTTGTTATTTTATTGACAATTCTTAAATTTTTAATTTTTTAAATATTATATTTTAATATGTGTTATATTTAAAATACTTTACCACGTCGTTGGTCTATGTTAAAGAAGTAGTTTAAAAAAATTAGTTTAAATATATGTGATTGTTCAATTTAATCTTTATAAAGAAAAGTGTTTTTTATTTAATATCAATTTAATTAATTTTTAAAATAATGCACTAGATGTTAGCAACCATTTTGCAATTTGATCTGGGATAGAATAGTTTTTGTTATAACACTAATTAAATTTAACAACGCAGTCAAACTAAAAGTAATGGAATAAGCATTTTTATTGAAATAGATTAACATTTATGTAGATTTTTATATTAATAAAACTTAGTTAGAAAAAATCATTATCAAAAGTAATTAATATTAAATTTAATTGTTTTTTAAAAAATGTCAAATATAGTTGTTACTGTTCATTTTCTTAAAAGAAAGTTTACACCAATAATAGAAATTTATTTAGAACCAGGAAAATAAAGACCTCCATTTTGATTACTACTAAATCAAGAAAAGAATGCTTAAGTGTTGGAGAAAAAGAAAAATTTATGTGAAGAAGATTTTTATTATTTTGGTATAGTGAAATAAAAAGTATGATCCTTTATTTATATTTCAGCCAGAATAATTTTATCGTTTATTTATTTTAAATTAAGTAGAATTAATTTTAATTCATTAAATATTATTGAGATATGTGTATAAATTAATCTAAATTATTAATTTTTAAATATATTTTATTAAAATTATAAAATTTATTTTTTTAGAATAATTAAACAAACAAACCCTACATCTACTACACGTTAATGTTAGGTATCATATTTTAAGGAGCTAAACATTAATGTATGACATTTCACGAAAAAGGCCCCAGCTCATAATGTAATTATAATGATTAAATGTATACTTTTTTTTCACTTATTATTTATAATATATTTCTTTAATTAGAAATTTTAAGGAAAAAAAAAAACTCCAAGGCTTCTTTATAATCTTTGAAAATTCTTTTAAACTTAACAAGTTTGGTATAAAAAATCTACAATTTAGTATTAATTTATACATACCTTGACTTTTTTTTTAAACAATTAACACTTTTTTTAATCTTATTCTCAATATTTAGAGGCACAACACCACACATTTTTATCATATTTTTCTTTTTTTTTTGTTACTTTTTTTTTGCTTCTTCTATTTGAAATTTTATTTGACTCACATTACTTCATGATATCTAGAAATAGATTTTAAGTGTTGTTATTCTTTTCAATGACATTTGTTTATTTTTATCATGTCTTATTTTCTAGTTTTATCTTTTATTCTTTTTAAAGCAAAATCATTCATTATTAATAATAAAATAAACTAAATTTTTATTATTTAATTCTTCAATATTTTACATTTTTTTAATTTTTACTTATTTTTCTTTGAAAGTATAAAGTTTCATGAGTTAAAAAAATTGGTGAAAGAAGAAGAGTAAAACATTCATTTGGTCTTAAAGCTTTTTCTCTCAATTTTTAAAGTACAAGAAGAAATTATTATAATATATTTGATTTCTGTTTTAAAACATTTTTTTTTAAATAAAATTTAATATACATTTATATTAAATTATATTTTAAAATTAAAAACTATTTTTAAAATAGAAATCAAACATACTTTTAATATTTCTCCCAATTTCATGTGCTATTTATATTATTGATGTCAGCTTATCATGTTCTTTCTATTTTTATTTTTTACAAAATGTCTTCTACTATTTAGGTTTTACATTTTGTAGTATCTTTAACTTGCATTGTTCAGTGAATTCACCTTTCATACTTTGATCATTAAGTTTAATTAGGTCTTTCTTGTTTGAATACACGAGCATATGTAATATACATTTTAAAGATTCATACATGATCCATTTTTTTTATTGATTTTGTTGTATTCTTCTAGTGGAATCTACAACATTTTTCATTTAAAAGCAATTGGACAAATAAATTCCTAAATCTAACAACTTTGACTTTTTTACTTAGGTTAATTTTAAAAATATATTTTTAAAATAAGATAATAAAGAACAAAATATTAAAATGAGTTATTTGAACAATAAGTGTTAAAAAAAATTAAAAGTAAAATGCACAATATATCAAAGTTTGACCAAATTTAATGCCATCATATGATTTAGACTTCACTTAGTTTTAAAAATCACTGAAATTAGTTAAAAATAAGGGTTAGTTTTAAGCTTCATAGTTTAAAAAACAAATTTAGTTCCACTCAGCTTCAATATTTCAAAAATTATCACGCATTTTAATGTGTGAATACCAATTTTTATATCTTTGGGATGACCTTCAAATTTTTATTTTTTTTTAATTTATAAAAATGAAATAAAATCTTTTACAAAAAATGAAATTTTTTTGAAGAAAGAGATAGATTCCGAAAATGAAAATCTTGCACTATACAGGCTTATACCTTCACATCAAAAATTGTTCTTAAGCACAAGAAAGGCAAAATCAGAACTTTTGGCATCTTATAAAAAATTCTAAAAGAACCAATATAAAGACGCAAGTAAGGGATCCACTCGAGAAAGCTTTTGGAGGGAGAAAGAAAGCAAAATTTTAGAAGAAAAGATCTAACGAGAGAGATCCAGAGAAAAAAAAATTCAAAAATAAAATATAGAAAAAAAGAGAGAAAATGAAATAAAAAAGAGAACCGTCCCGTTTATTACTGCTAGATCTATCACAGCCGCTCATCGTTTCTTCCCTTTCGCCATTTTTGACTCTATCCCAGGTATTCTTCTTCTTCGAATATAAAATATGTATGTTTGTGTTGTGTGTTGAAATAGAAATGAAAAAAAACCAATGCGAACATACAGTGAAAGCTTCAGGAACTTTTGAATGTTTATGTTTTTTGTTAATATTATAAGATTATAAGCTGACATAGTGATAGTGTGCATGCAACCTACTGCACGGATGAAAAATGGCACCTTTCAAATGCATCTTTCACACTTTTTCTTTCATTATTACATATAGATTTTATTTTATTTTATTGTGATATCACACAAAAATCTTTAAAAACAAATCCCGTAGATGGGATATACAAATTGAAAATACACTCTTTACTCTTTGCACTGAACCTGTATGGCAATTTTATTTATATTTTTTATTTTGTTATTATTTTCATTAGGTAAATTATTTCATTTTGTTCTTAATTTTACATTATGATTATAATAATAAAAGAAGTTAAAATATAATGTTAATTTTTATTGTATCATATTTTATTTTTATTTTCACTTGTTAAATTTATCTCTTCATCAAAATTATTTTTCAGATTATATGTTCATATCTAGTTTACTTATTTTATTTTTTAGATTATATGTTCTTTAGTATTATTAATTTATTTTGTTGCATTGCACAATTTTATAATGTTAATATAATTTAGTGTCACGTTTAATAGTCTCTTGTCTATTATTTAATGAAATACTCTTATAAATAGAAAACACAATAATGACATCAATTTATGATACCAACGTGTAGCTTTTCTATCGTCCTGTATCATAAATTGATAAAGCTTACGTGTATCTACGTTACCGAGACTTTAAGCAATATTAATTATTATAGGTTATCTTTAATTAATTAGAAAAATTATTTTAATAACTAATCAAAATGTATTCCCTATAATCATTATTTTACTAATCAATCAATAAAATTATTTTATTAACATAATAATTTATAATGTTAATGTGTAGCAACTCTACCTTTACATGTTATAAATTATTAGAACTTATGTGTACGAACGTCATCTTAGGTTCTATACAACATAAATTTATCAAACAAAGTTTTAAATTTTTTTTTATTAAATATTTTTTAATTAATTCAAATTTATTTATTCATTTCATTAAATGAAATTAATTTCATATTTTAAAATTTCTTGAATCATATTTCTAATTTTGATAAATTAAATAACAAATCATTTCTCTATTTTTATTATATTATACAATTTTTATAACATCGATGTGTGATTTACATTGCCTTCGATTATTAAAAAATTACAAGAGATTAACGTATAACTTACGTTATCTTTAATTCTCTTTTAACATTGTTCATAATCAAAATTCAAATTCAAATACTTGATTTACGAATAAAATATTTTTAATGATTTGTAATATAGTTGTGTGATTTTCCTTCACTTTCTGTATTGTTTCTTGTAGGGTACATGTATAACCGCGTTATCTTGTATTCTAAATATTATAATTTTACAAAATAATTTTAATTTTAAAGTAAATTTTCTTTTACTAAACCTAATTTTAATAAACTAATTTCATAATTTTTAGATAGAACTACATGACTTTGAGTTTCCCATTGGACCTGGGATACATAGGAGCGGGAACCGGACCCGTCAAGTCAAAATAATTTTCAAAATAAATTTTCTCTTTGTTAAGATATCCAAACAATATCTCAATAAATAATTTTTCTTCTTCTAAAGTGAAAATAAAAAAAAATTGTTGTTTAGGAGTTAAATAAATATTTTCAAAATTAAGATGAATTTGCACAATTAATTTAAAGTAATCATTTTTAAACGGATGTTGTAGGGTGCTAATACCTTCCCTACACGTAAATGACTCCCGAACTCATTTTTTGTTTCAAAAATCGTATTATATTTAAGTTTTTTCAAGGCTTTTCTTAAAATAAACTTTGGTGGCGACTCTTCTGA